GCACCCTGCGCGCTCAGATGATCTATCGCAGTCAGGTTTTCATGCTCGGCTGCCAAGTGAAGTACTGTCTTGCCGCACAGATCCATCAAGTTACATGGACTCATAGTCTCAAACATATCTATTATTTCGTCATACTTGTTCAGCCTCAAAAGCGACGTCAGTTTGTTATTCGAGTATGCTTTGTCACTTTTCCGTGTCAGCTGAAATAAATGAGTGTGTCATTTAAACGCGTCCATTGAATTATTCAGCTTTCGTTACAGTTATAGTGCAGACGACCGATTAGTAGCAACCTATTCTCATTGATACCAATTGATGACATTCTATTCCAACATGCTTTACCATTCTCGTTTTCATTATGCATCAGATGGCTAATTGTGAGTAGTCAACAGAGCGAAAGAGTTGAACATTTGGCAAAGATGCCTCGATGTCTCAACGGCACAGCAGGCGACAGAATGTGCTTGGACCTTATACAGGTTCGAAAGGTCAGTTAATCTGCGTCTGTGCCCAAGGGTCTAAGCTGCATTTTTATTGAATTGTATTTTACGCTGAATGAACTTTTTAAAATAAATAAGTTGGTAGATTTTTTTATGCTAATTAATTTAAAGAATCTACTGTTAAATCAAGACTTTACTTATCGCAGATATAATATTTACACCGAGCCAGCTTCGCATTTCTTTTAGCGACTGCATTATAGACGCGGACACAGACGCAGACGCCAACGCAGACGCCGACGCAGACGCCAACGCGAACACAAACACATAGCACCGGGGCATATTTAACAAAAGATAAACTCTCTCCATCACTTAGCTATTTCAAGGAGATTCGTACCTTTGCCACCAAATATATTTTACGCATTCATTAGTCAACTATGAAAATTTAATTGTTTTTCAATTTCTGGTTATAAACAATATAAACAATATATACAACCTAACATATTTCAAAACTGAAACACTTGTCTAAAACAAAACTATTAATTTATCTTTCTTACCAGCATAGTCGTTCAACTTTGAAACAGCCTTTAAAGATCTTGTAAGATGCAATTTTTTGCCTTTTCGTCTACGCTTACTGTGTTGTCTTGAGCAAATTTTTCGTGGCGTGCCGACTATCTTCGACTATTCGCTATGAAGATACTTTGCATTGAAAATCTTCAAGTCGTTCTCGAAAATTCAAATCGCTGAGTAGCGAGTACCACATAAAAATTCTATTTAACTCGAAATTTAGTCTTGGTCAACACACACACACACACACACACATGCGCGCGCGCTCATATAAGTTTGAACGCCTAACCGGAAAACAGCAAGAAGAAATGCACTGTCTCAGAGAACACGCTGTAGGTACTGTGATCTTTTCAGTCTGACGACAATTTCGAATCTGCTTTTCGCACATTTTCCATGGCGCACTGATTTTTGGTGAGCGGCAAATAGTCAAAAAGAGTGGGGGAGCAGAGTAAGAGAGGGAGAGGGAACGCTACCCAACGAAAAAGCAATAGAGTAAAAGAGACAGACAGGCAAACAGAGCAATGGGTCTTCCGCAACTGTATGAAGTCGTCAGAATATTGCTAATTATGATCTCTAGAATATTCATTTTAGATCAAATTGAATTTTTTCCTAGACAAATTCTACCTATAACATAATTTTATCCTAAAATACTAATTACAATTAATTATATTTCTTTACTATTGGACCGGACGGAGGGGAGGGGGGCACGCCGTTAGACGCGTCAAATGCACAGCAGAAGTAAAATGTCGGTTAATATTAAAGGAAATACCCGTAGCAAAGAAACACATTCTTATACTTATTAGTTTGTATCTAACAAATCAAAAAGTACAAGAAGAGAAAAAATTGTGCAGAGTAAATCGATACTCTAAATTTCACGCTTCGGCTTATTTAGAGCGATACTTTTGCAACTCTATTCAAAAATTTTCACTTTCAGCAATATAATTGTCATTTTTTTACTTTTATATTTCCGCTCAATAACATTTACCACCCTGTTGACTGAAAACTTAAAGCTTTCAGTCTTCATATCTCGACTTAGAGTCGTCGTAAAAACCCAACGAGTACTTATTTTGTAGAATTTTGCAATATTTATCAAGTGGCGTAAGCTACATGTCTGTATTTTATTTTTTTTTCAAAAGCTACGTCATAAGTAAGAAACAAAATTTTATTTTTTATTACTAACTTTAGTGAAATTTATTTTGGAGGGAAGTGATGGGGATTAAAATCTATCTGTACCGTTTATAAGTTTATCCAAATAATTGTCCTAAAGCCTACAAAATCATGTCCAAACATTTTTTTTTTATGATTTTTATAAGCTATATCGTGTTTTATTAAAAAATACATATTACGAATCAAATCGTTATATTTCGAAAAACATACTCTTTAAAAAAAATTTAAAGAGAAAAATTGTTACTTTTTGGTCAAAAAACTATGGATAAACTTGTAAAATGATATAAAAAACTTGTTTTTTCACGTATTTCGTTTGGAATTTTTTACTTTTCTTTAAAACATTGAAAACTTAATTATTAAGATAAATTAGTCTTTCGTGTGGTTTTTTGATATTACGTAAGGACGTATCTTCAACTTGCGGCTCTGAATTTCAAAGGCGCTGTTTTCTTTCTTTGTTAACTCGACAACTAGTGTAGAACTATTTAGGTGGCAGCAGAATCTATTTTGAACAATTCTGGAAAAGGACAATAAATTTGACGGTTAAGTTTCGTAGTGATTTCATTCATGTAGAACAAAACACAAATGTCTTCAACTGTATCGATAAGGATATCTTGGTCCTTTTCGGGTATAAACTATTGGTTATAATTTTCGAGAAAGATTAACTATTTCTTTTAGTTCTTTGGGTTTTTATGTAGACTTGTGAAACAGGTGGAACTTGTAACTTTGTACCTGTTTTAAGTTTTGGGTTAATTTAAGACATTTTGTTTATTTATAACTTTTGAACTTATTCTCAGAGACAGCTTGTATTATAATTATTATGTATTGTAATTAGTACTTACAGTGGCAGAGCTGCGCACTGTTTTTGAGTGTACATTATTCACGGAGAAACTTAAATATGTTTGAATCGCGTGACTATTTAACTTGTACTGATGCAGTGCTTTTGTTTCCCTTTCCACCAATATCACATTGTAAAGTTGTTCACATATAAAACATTTCGTATCATAATAATCGATAATCGAACGATCCAGTTGTTTTAATATTTTCATGCTTTGCTGTACGATATCTGTTTAACTTTCATAGCTGCTTGCGCAATACTACAAAGTAGGCTAAATTGCAATTTACAAATTCATCCATACTAGTAAGTTTTTATCATCCTGAGTTCTGTGTTGAAGAAATATTTTATCATGATAATCTGTTAATTTATATATTTTGTGGTTAACTTTGTTTATTTAAAGGTAAACTTTCACATAGAGCAAAATTCAATGTAAAGCAAAATACTGAGGTATCAGTTGGTCATTATTTTGAGGTTAGTATGATTAAAGTCATCAATTTATATGAAATTCATGCTGATTATATTGATGCACTTTTCAAACAATTAATTATCTACGGAAATCTACGGTAATCTTTCATATGCGTACACAACATATACCTATATATAATAGCTCACAATAGCTGATCCTGTGACCATCTTTCTTTGCTTTCTCATCTATTAATTATTTTTTTTTAATCATAAGAGCTTTCTTTTGATAGGAAAATAAATGAGAAAAAATGAATCTGGCAATAAATATTAAATATTTTTAATTTTTCGAGGCTTATTGATACTTTTTACAATAACTAATGAACGAAAATAATCGCGCGATGGCTCAAATTGTAGCTTTTTCAATTCTCTGCAACTTTTATCCGAAACGTTTTCATCTAAAATGCTTACCATGACTTATAGGCGTGAAAAACCTGTTTTTGCCAACTATAAACCTTTACAAAAAACATAGAAAGATTTGCACAAGAGTCCAATAGATAGAAAATATGTTGACATATCGTGCAATAAATAGTTTGCACGATAAATTGGTTTTATTATTATCAGTACCGACTCTGAGTAGTGCAGATATAAAAAGAAATCTGTACTGTCACATCTACACGTGAAAAATGCAGGTCTTGGATAGTCATGTGTATAAGTGGAAGTATATAAATTTATGTGTTAAAGTCAGAAAGAAGTGCCTGGACAAGTCTTTGCCGGTGCAAGACCGCGAGTGCTGGTCATAACATGAATAACATCGTAACATGTTGAATGACAATTGTTCATGTGAATAATAATCAGGTAACTCTGGTGAGAGCTTTGAGAAATGGAAGAATTTTGGCTGCTAGACTTGATATGAATGATATGGTGAGCGCTTATTGAGTTTGCGTAAGAACTACCTTTTGCGGTCGCTATTCCAACAGATCAAATAACTTTTACAAAAGAAATCTCTTCTATCTGCAGTACTCGTGCCTTGTGAGTAGTGCGTAGTGCCACAATCGAAACTCGAGCTGACATAGCCATGTACAGCAACTGTTCCAAGATATACTTGCTTGTCGGCTTTCAAAGTAAAGCTTCACTGTAACAATTATGAATACAGATCAAAACAAGAGACATTTTTTTATTTTTTCCAATTCAAATGAATAAAAGGCAGTACAATTGTTCACGTCATTGACGAAAAATTTATTATAATGATTGCCGAACGGTGCAATAACTATATACTGGGCAAAATATACAAGCCAATTCTGATACATCGATGATACATTGGAAAAGATTTACATCAAGAGTTATGCATCAAAGGAAGCAATCGAATATGCGAATATGCATTTCACCGTACATTGAAATGCACCAAGTTGTAAAATGTATAGTCAGCTCATAATGAGCAGCGAAGCATGAACGAGAAGAAGTAGTACTCGCTATATTATCTGACATCGGTTTGTTAAGAGATATCCAAATGCGTACACAGAGCAGATACCAATTATATTGAGTTCGTGAAATACAATCATGAACGTGATTAGACTTTCAAACAACTGCCTGATTAAAAGGCTTTTCAAACTTTCAAGAGAACTCAAACGCACGAGACTACTGCGGAAAGAACAAGAATGAAATGAGATTATAATTGTCATGGAAACAAAATATTTTGGTCAAAAATGCAGGCAGCTTTGTGTTCTCACCTCACGATAAATATATGTTTGATAAGCTGCGGTTCTCTTCTATCAGTTAAGTCAGATAAATTATTATTAGTATAGTTAGTTCAGTGATATATCGCGCCTGCGCCTGAGCGATGTTGTACATGCATAGATTATATAAAGTGGCAGTTCCATTGTGTGTGACGGTGTTACGTGTAAAGTTTCGAAACGAGCGTTAAAAATGGCATCGTTTGGCGCGAGACCACGAGTTTTGGTCACACATAATGACCTGCCGCAGGATGCTCTGGATTTACTGAAGGCAAAGTACGTTCAATTTTATGCTTAACGCCGATAAATACTTTATTTTTGTGTTACATTTTCTTTTTTCTCAATAAACATGTAATGTTCGCAAGTTAAGTATGAAACTCCACACTAAACAATACAACGACATAGAGCGAATTATTTCTGATCATTCGTTATCTGTAGTTGCTCACGTCAAAGGTAATTTATATTGACATTTCCAGTCATTTAGAACAACATAATATATTGCACAATTATTAAACTATTAAGTAAGTCCTTCAACGCGACGTAAAGCATCGATTTAATTTTCAGGTGTAATGTTACAGTAATGGATTCTATAAAGCCAAAAACAGCAGAAATATTAAAGTTACTCCCTGAATATGATGCACTTTTGGGAAAGACTAATATCGATGCCCAATTCCTAGATGCTGCGGGTGGTTATTTTATCTGAAAAATAATTTATTAGAAAGGTTTATAGTTTGATACTGCACAAACAAAATTTTTTCGTATAGGGAGCAAGCTAAAAATAATCTCAACTCCATCCGCTGGTTTTGATCATTTGGATGTGGCCGAAATAAAAAAACGAGGTATCAAAGTGGGAAATGCTTCGCAAGTGTTGTCTGCTGCAGTTGCGGAAGTGGCCGTGTTTTTGTTGCTTGGCGCGACAAGACGAGCGCACGAAGGACGACAACAACTCGAAAAGTAAAATTTTATATTGCTCAAGTGTTTCCATCTAGAATTACTATGTAAAATGTTTTATTTTGCTTTAGAGGTATAGTAGGATCTGGATTCCAATGGATGCTCGGTCACGACTTGAGAAATAAAACCGTTGGAATCGTCGGTTTAGGAAACATAGGTGTAGAAATTGTCAAAAGACTGAAGCCTTTTGAAATCAACAAATTTGTTTACACCGGTCATTCTAGAAAGAAGATTGGTAATTATCAGACTTGCACACAATTTTGGCTTTAGAATAGTTTATAAAAATTGTTTGGCTCCTAGGAGATGAGTTGAATGCGGAATTTGTTTCTTTCGACAAGCTGCTCGAACGGAGCGACTTCGTCGTCAATTGCGTGCCTCTGAATGCAAAAACCGAGAAATTGTTTGGCGACATTGCTTTCAACAAAATGAAAAAGAGCGCCGTTTTCGTCAATATCGGTCGCGGCAAGACCGTCGATACAGAAGCTTTGGTTAGAGCTTTGAACAATCGAACAATTTTTGCTGCTGGACTTGATGTTACCGAACCAGAACCACTGCCCATCGGTCACGAATTAATGAAACTTTCGAATGCTCGTGAGTACTATTTAATTTAACCTCTTACACTGAAAAAACGTACGTTTTGTCAATAGTATTTACGAAAATAAAGTTTGGTCACCGTGAAAAGTGAGAGAGGCAAATAAGATCAAAATCAACGTTTCATTTTCAGTGGTCATTCCGCACATGGGTAGTGCAACCATCGAGACCCGAACTGACATGGCAATAGCAGCTGTTCAAAATATACTTAACGGCTTTGAGAGCAAACCTTTGCTATACGAACTGTGATTGTAAAATAATTCAATTTCTGTAAGGTCTATCTACTGAGTAATGTATTATTTTTCTTGGCAAACTGATAAATGTTATAACGTAAATTATATAAATAATATGCAAATGTTATAATACTAAATCCATATTTTCTTTTAAAAGAAAGATGAAAACTCGTGTTTTTTCTTGATTTCATGTCCCATCATGCAAATATTTAAACGTTTTTCCAGAAAAAATATTTTACGAATTATGACTAAGCTTAATGTTAATGGTTGACTAAAAATTAATGTTGTAAAAATAAATACAAGTGCTATATACTAACGCATTACTTTCAAACTAGATTATTATTCAATAAATAAATGAATACCCAATTTTGAAAGAGAAAAATGGCACATAATTTGTGTTTACTTCTTGTTGGCTGCGTCATATGCGATGCAAGAAAAGTTATAATACATAGAGAAAGAAACAAAATATACTGTGAAAGAAATTGATGCTGGAATAGAGACATACAATTTAGAGTATATATTGATTGATGAAAATAGCATAAAAGTTCAGCACTACATTGCTTGTACGTGTACAGTCTGCTTATAACAACCAGTCAAACATAAATGAAAAGAAGTCGCTTGCGTAGTTATTATCACACGTAAGTTTATTAAAGTGCTGAATACATTTTAGTGCATTTTCTTTTGGCGATGCAGTTAATCTCTTATGAAATATTCCAGGCTATTTGGTACAAAAAATTTATCTACAATGAACGATTTATAAAACAATTAAATAAACACTATATAACACCGTCTACTCATGTATGATATTCCATTTCTAGCTAATTAATTTTATTAAGAAAAATTTGATATAGTAAAACGTATGAGTTTTTACTTTGTCCTAACATGTTTCTTGCAACCTTTCTTCAACCTTGACTATAGAGTTGCGTTACATTTTTATAAAAATGCCAAGAGTCAAGAACTTCACGTATTCTATTATCTAATTAGAAACTTGTAAATTTTACTATGGTCTACATAAAATAGTATAGTAAGAGGGATTGCGCTTGCGCATAAGATTCGCTTATATAAGAGTCCGCTGTCATTTGGCACGCACATGTACACGTTAGTATATATAGCGAATTGATTGGAAACAAGTGTTAGGTACATGTATATAGATTTTTACGCTATTTGGTTAAAATCTCGTATAAATGGTAGATTTATTTTTTTCTGCTTTTTAGTTTACTCAGTTGTGATGCTTATATTTTTACCACTTCAAATAATAAATATATATTATTCGTTTAATTTATAAGAAAACAATAGTAGAGTTATTTTTATAATCGTTTCTCGTACACTTGATTCGTTTATGTTTAAAGTAAGTTATTAGAGTTCCTGATTTGAATACTTACATAAGCTCAAGGATATTTAATATGTGCAGTATCCTAATTATACGGCATAGTAATACAAAAATTGCCAATATAGTTACAATGGCGTCAGCTGGCGCGAGACCGCGAGTGCTGGTGGTTCACAACGACACACCTCAGTCTGCTTTAGATTTATTAAAGACAAAGTATGTTTGTTGCTCTCCTAATACGTTGTCAAGTATTGTCACTTAACTGTGAATTTCCAGATGTGATGTTACACTTATGAGAAGTAATTGGCCCACGACGAATGAAATATTAAAAGTAATTCCTGAACATGATGCTCTTTTTGGAGTGGTTCCTATTGATGCCAAATTTCTAGATGCTGCGGGTAGTTGTTTGCAGAAAAAAAATCGTTAAATTTAAATCTTGCCCAATACTGTTAATTTGCGTTTGTAGGAAATCGATTGAAAATAATTTCAACTCCAACTGCCGGTTTTGATCATTTGCACGTCGCTGAAATTAAAAAGCGAGGTATTAAAATTGGACATACTCCGAAAATTCTGTCGGCAGCAGTGGCTGAAACTGCAGTATTCTTATTGTTAGGTGCAGCTAGACGCGCTCACGAAGGACGTTTGCAACTTGAACAGTAGGTCTAGAAAACAAATAAATAAAATGAAACAAGTATATTAAAGTCGATTTCATTGCTATTAGAGGAAAGACTGGATCTGGATTTTCTTGGCTGTTAGGTCACGATTTGCGAAACAAAACTGTAGGAATTGTCGGACTAGGTAACATTGGCGTTGAAATTCTTAAAAGGTTGAAGCCTTTCGAGATAAAAAAGTTCGTTTATACTGGCCATTCACGAAAACAGATTGGTAAGGATCAACATGTAAACTTTTGAGAAAAAACTAACATTTGACGTAAAGAATGATCTGATTTCTGTTCTCTAGGAGATGAACTTGGTGCTGAATTTGTATCTTTGGATGACCTCCTTAAACAGAGTGATTTCGTTATCGACAGCGTACCTCTGAATTCAGAAACAGAAGAAATGTTTGATGATGATGCTTTTAAAAAAATGAAAAAGACTGCTGTTTTTGTAAACATCGGTCGAGGCAAGACCGTTCATACGGATGCTTTGGTCAGAGCTTTGAAAAACGCAACGATTTTCGCTGCTGGACTTGATGTTACTGAACCAGAACCATTACCAGTGGATCATGAACTACTGCAGCTCCCGAACGTAGGTAAGTCATTCGTTACGTTTTTTATAAAAATTGTATCGTTGATTGATTAGCGATGAAACACGTAAAGTACTTTCCTTCAATTTCATTTATATTTCGTTTGCATAATATTTAACCATATAACTTTTTATGTGGTTATCATAAAATAGCATATAAATTTCACATTACTTATATATTTACAGTAATCGTCCCTCACATGGGTACACAAACCATTGAGACAGAAAATGACATGGCCATAGCAGCTGTTCAAAATATACTCTATAGTTTTGATGGCAAGCCTTTGCTTTATGAAATCTGATTATTTGGCATAGAGAATATTCCAATAATTCTATCAGTGATACAAACATGTATATTTACACAGTTAATGCGATAAGCACAGTATAATCATTTTTCTAGTAGTATTTTAATATTTTTATAACTCTTTAATATGTATGTATTAAAAAATATTAGCAAGTAAAATAAAACATTCTATATCTGAATACCTTAATTGATTACAAATAAACATAAATTTCCATTGTACAAAGTTTAGCTTACAATTATTCCATTCTCATAAAGCGATGCTGCATTGCCACAATAGTACATTACCTAACTTGCTTCACTTGGGTGTAAATCTTACATGAGACAAACAAAAATCTACTTTCTTAAGCTAATTAAATAATGTACTAGTTCCAAAATGTCAATGTATACAATATTTTATCATCTACTAGCTAATGCAAAATAATAAGTCTTTTATCACAATGCCACACTCATGGGTGATATGTATTAATTATCACCCATAGTGGACAACAGGCAACCATCAGGCATCCACAACGGCATTTTTCAATTGGCTGAGCACAGGATCAATTTTCTTTTCCAAATCAAGAATTTGGCCAGTATTACAATTGTGACTTGCAATGAAACTTACTACAAGTGGTAATTTATTCATTTGCACAACCTTGAACATCATACAAAATCCTTTTATTTAACACTAAAGTTAAATTTCATTATATAAAAATTTGGAGCAACATTACCTGATAACTGCTGTACATACAAATAACCGTATTGTTTTTCCCAAGACCTAATTTACTTCCTTGATCAGTTGCCATTCCAAAAGTAGAAAGAAAACTTGCTCTCATTGCTAATTCTGGAGCTTTATCATTAGCTACATAAACAGCTGGCACTCCGTCTCTGTCTGTGATCAAAATACTGTGCAAACCTTCTACTCGATTCAATAAACCTAACAGAAACTTTTTCAGATCCTGAAAAATATTGGTATTACTTTTTAGTCAATATCAATATATTTAGAACAATATTTATTTAGCATTTTAATGAATATTAGGTAAAACCAAATGTCAGCATTACTAGTAAATAGATAAAACAAAATATTATAACCTTAAATTAAAATAGAAATAATTTTCTCATTAAAATGAAACGCTTCAATGTGGTATGTACTTACTGCAGTCATATTTGTCAATTGCAGATAATTTTAAACTGATTTATCAATATTTTTTTATACAGTTATTATAAATCTTCAAATAACGTGATTTTTTTACAGCAACTTACAAAGTTGGTAGCAAGAGTTCACGTATCACTTTCAGTGACAAACTGACGACTGACATTAGTGACAGTTGACAGTGTCTTTATTACTTTGGTACTCCAACTTGAGCAATAATCGTGAGCAAAATTTGTATTTGAAGGGTCGCGGTATGGTATGTCAAAAATTACAACAACAAAATTAAAATATTTTTATTGAAATCTATCTTACTCATAAAATCGAGTACTAAAATGTGATAAAATTTGCAGAACCGATTTGAATTAGTTTGAAAAATAATAACACAGTAATTTGGAAAATTGATACGAACAATAGCATATTCGCTTTATTCATGTATACATATTTTTTGATAAATCATAAGTAATATAAATAAAATGATCTACAAGTAATCAAGGATGACATAACGGTATACATAACACTGTATACACTTTTTCAAATCCACACAAAAAAGTTATAAAAAGAAATTTAAAGTCATTGTTGAATTGTTAGTAGATAACTCAGAAGTGAGCAATACTGAAATCACATAATTTCCTTTGTGTTTGAAAACAATACATGTGCACTATTAACATTTGAAGTATAATTGCATCAATTGTCTAAAAATATAGAATTATTTAACTGCCCATTTTTTCTGTGAAGTTACTCAGTGACCGTTTCATCTTTTCCTAAGGCAATACCATGGACTGGACTCATTGATTTCTCACCACAGCCACCAAGTGAAAACATCTTAGGAATATCTGGCCCATAGAACACTTTAGCATTTTGTGATAAGGCCTTGTATTTTTCAAGTTCTAGATATTCTTTTGTTAATAGCAATTTATTTGCCTCAGCTTGCTTTGCCATTTGATAATAATCTGCATCGGAACGACTCTTTTCTCTTGCTAGATGCATTTCATCCTCTATGGCTGCCATACGTTGAAGTGATTCTTTTTCCATGATTTTCTGATTGTATTGGATTTTCGCTACTTGAGCTTCTTTTTCAGCTTCAATTATAGCCTTCTTTCTATCAGTTTCAGCATCTTTTTCAACAACTTTTTGATGTTGAGTTGAAATTAACAATTTTGTTTTCTCTGCTTCCCTTTACATACATACATTAAGAAGATCAATAAGAAACATAAGTTTTCAACAATAATTTGCTATGTTTTATAATAATTATAAATATATTTTCTTACATAAGCTCATAATTTTTCCTAATGGTTTCAGGAATCTTCGGTTTAGTTACTCTTACACCTAAGACACTTAAGCCTGGAGCCATTTCATTTAGATCTCTTTGTAAAGCAGTCTTCAGATTTTCATCAATTTGATCAAATAAATCAATGTAAACCTCATGTAATGTGTGAACAGAACAAAATTGATTTAACTCATGATGAATCTTATTGAATATTAAGGATCTATCATAATCAGCTGTATAATTTCTTACAATGTTATACACTGAAAATATTTAAAGATAATTTTGAATGTCCACAAAGAACAAAAGCAACAGGAGATCATAAATATAAATTTTTATTTACATACCACTGCCAGCATCTAATACATTTACAACTTCTATTCTATCAAAGTAAATCATAACACCGCCACTAGTCCCACAAGGAACATTTTTTATCTCATCTGTTTGTAAAGTCACTTGGACTGGTTTGAACGTTGTTAAAAGTGGTATCATCATATGGAATCCTGGAGTACTAACATGAGGTAATAATGCACCTCCCTAAAAATCAAAATGTGAAAAGTGTGAATTTATTGAAAACAACAGATTAACCATTAGATTAATGAGTATTCAAGTATGGAACTATTTTAATACTCACTCTGAAATAAACACCAACATAACCTTCTTCAATACGATGTAAAGAAAAATTGAAAACAACTGCTAGGCAGATCAAAAAGCACATACCAATAATTTTTTGATCAATCATTTTAAATTAGGTTTTTAGTAAAAAGAATTTCAACCTGAAATGAGAGAAAGAGTTAGGTTAAAAATAAATGTCACACACGTGCACGTGTGTATGAATTATATATTACCAATGAAAAGTATTCTCATCGATGTGTTATCATTTTCAGTCAAATCAGCTTACAACTGCAATAGACATGTCAATGTTTATAACTGTACATCTGTGGAATGATGAGGTTAAGCACGCGTGACAGCATGTTTCTATGTTTATGAATATCAATACTAAATAGTTTGAACGGTAATATCTTACCAACAAATAATGGCTCCCAGCTCCGCATATTGGGTATTTTTGAAATAAAACAAAAAATAGAAAGAATTTTGACAAAATTAATGTGTGTTAAATTATACTATCACTGCCGTGCACGCATCGTCGTTTTTAATTAAGCAGACTGAAATCTGAAAGCAATTATGTATAGTAAGCTGCCAAGTGACAGACTGACCCATGAACTGCGACCTGACACTCCTGACAGTGGTTAAGGTCGATAGTTAGATAGCTCCTCGCACATAATCATAGGTAGCTGCCGGGAAACATTCAAATGATTTCGTCTACGTACCTAGGTATAATATCGACCGTATGTAGTAACTATGCGTAGCGGCAACTTGTTTTCTGGAATTTTGCAATACCAAAGGGTTTTCGGTGAGAAATCGTCCCAGATGCACATTGACATGAGTGATGATATTCATTAAAGTAGTAAAAATATATAGTTGCCGTAATAATGTTCCGCAACAATTGCCTATAAAGTTCCCGGTATGTTATGTGAATTCAAACTTTGGAAAGGTATACTCATGGTTGAAAAATTAATTCATAAAATAATTTTTATTGAAATAATGGTCGACATTCCTGGGACGTTTTATGAATCCCGATCAATGTATCCGCAATAGTTTTTCTCGTAGGTCCAAATTATGTATGTATTATAAGAAATAAATACGAAGAAGTTAACAATCATTGGAACTTTAATATCTGTCCACATACCGTGGGCTTGTTAAGGAAAAAAATATTTTATTTATTAATTACATTAAAATGTAATTATTAAATAAAATATTCTCTTATGTACTCTCCGATCGTTCGCACAGCTACGTTCCCAGCACATTTTCAAAGTTTGAATCCGGTAACGTACCGGCAACCTTCTAAGTAATTGTGGAATGTGCCTGCAATATTTTCTTTCCAGTTTCCACACTAAGAGAATATTCCTGCAATGTTCTTGTTCCGTGTGTTTTAGAACCCCCCAGAACATTCGTACAGTTCATCATCTACATCTGTGTACATATTCTGTGGCTTAAGAAGTTAAGAAGAAGGGCGTCATGGAAACGTATACAGCATATACAGTCTCCATGATGGGCGTATTTTGCGACTTTTTAAACCAGTGAATACGTATGGGGAGATAGATGGTGAATTATACTAATGTTCCGGGAGGTTCAAAGTCACATGGAATAAGAATATCAGTAGAAAGACTCTAAAGACCCTAACGGACATTGTTGCCCATGCAGGTTTGTCGTATCTCATTTGGTATTCCCTGTAATAACCTAGTATCCGCTTATAAAAAAGTGATGGATACCATGTTGAAGTATTTTATTCGCAGTGAATTGATTGGCTGAGATTTGGTCACGTGTTATATTGTTATGTGGTGGCAAATAACCGTATGTATGGTTTCGATACTGGTTATTTTGAAGACAATGAAAGTAAAAAAAAAAGATTGCACTATTGTTGTTTTAACGCTCATTTTTTGAAACTATTATCAGCGAGTAGTACGTTCCAAGCAAGCCAGACATCAGACGCTGAAAAGTTCCCGAAACAGCAGTTTGTATGCGACTTTCAGTCTTTCTCACGCAAACGATTAACTGCGCGGTTCCTCGCTCTCGGCAACTTCGATACGGATCGACCTCCAGACGAAATGTGCATGTAAGTTGATGCTGTTTCCCGTGAAGAGTGAGACAAAAGCACATCGCGAAAGTGGGAGAGACACAGTCCTCTTCTCTCATGCTCTCGCGAGAATTGCTGAATAGGATAAGGAACGACTCGCGAAGCTGAATGAGCAATTAGCCCATTGTCCGATGACATTAGTTATCATGCCAGTGGGCGGGCTATTACTGACTTTTTTTTTATTGTGGAGAGGACTGGAGGGCACTCCACGATCCCGAGCGAAACAGTAATGAGCTACGCGAAACGTCTAAATCTCTAGAAAGATTAACAGTGTAATACTAATAAAGAAATATATAAAAATATATATTTAAATATACATTTAAATTATATATATATTTATCGATACCATTAAAAATTAGTACAGTTTCAACTCAAGCTGAAACATTTCGCTAATTCCTCTCGACTTGAGAAGTATGACTGACTGTGAGCGGTGCTTTAGGCACATTTCACTATTCTCGTCAACGCCGGACTAGAGTTTGATAAATCGTAGGAGAAACTACAGGCCAAAGGTAGCGAAAGGTAATTCGCCACGACAGGTTTTTCCTTTCGATAATTCTGCCTACCTTCACTCGCTCTAGACCGATTTTCCCAGTAAATTACGGATATATTCGAAAAAGGGAAAATAAATATTTGTAAATTCTGGACGTAACAGCGAGTAAATTGTTTTGTAGAAACAAAAGGTTATTCTTTGATATCTTTCTAATTATTTTTTATTACTATAATCGATAATCTGGTTTTTGAATGTGTAAGATTGAAATAAATCTATTGTCGCAATATTTATTTAACGAATGGCATAGATTTTTGAATAATTTGACCCGCGTAGTTGAAAAGAACTAAAAAATTATTACAGTCTTGGATAATTATGATAAATCATGAATTTCGAAATGTGAATCTTTCATCAAAATATATTTTTCTTCTACGATATGCGTTTTATAAAAAAAATCCAAAATCCATTGTTAAAAAAGAATTGGCATTAAAGATCTTTATCAATATAATCAGAAATGATAAAAATGATAAAGAATGCGCGAAGCGCGTTTGATATCATTAGTACTTTGGCCAAATTTTCACAAATCAAATTCTCGGTACGTGACTGCTATGGTCGATGTTATCTAGGTAAGAGCTAATTCTATACTACCACGTGTATATGTCGAACTAATTGATTTTTCCATATGGAATGCATTGCAAATAAGTGTTTGCGTACGCGACGGTTTTTTTCCGTTCTGTTTTTATTATATAACAAGGTCGATGTTTTTATAAAGAAAAATATTAATTCTTTTACTGATACAGTGTAATTATGAAGCTGTAAAAGCAGCTATTTTGGCTATTCGTCTCACTAGTTAATTTACATTTTGATTTGATATGAGCTAGATTTTAAGATATGGGAAATAAATTGAAAAAAATAATTTATTACGGACCGTACTTAGATAATTATGATAAGAATTAGACGCATAACAAGAATGCCCTGGCAGATTTCTAAAATTTTCATTCGTGCAGCTCAATCAAAATCAATGAATCTTAAAACGTGAAAAGGACATTCGATGTTCAAGTAAAATAGGGTACGGCATATCGAATGGGATTAATGACTCCCCCGTTTTTTGTAAAAAAGTGAATTTTCAACTTGGATTTTTATACTGCTTCCTGACATATGAAAGAAACTATATATGACTTTTGATCGCTTATCATTAACTAAAAAATTATTTTTTATCGAAAAATAGTAAAAACCAATAGTCTATACATTAAGAATCAAGTAATTTTAAATAGTAGTGTAGATGAATCTGACCTGCTATGAATGTCATGATATATTTGTGATATAATTTTGTATGTTCTTTGTAAAAAAGTATTTAAAATAAGTATTTAAAATGTTATGCGCATCTGTTAAAATGAGACGCTATGAGAATTTGGCCATTACACGTTTGAAAATAAGCACTTTTGGTAGAAAACATAAAGCACAGCGAGCACAGCGAGTTTCCATAAGACCATCGTATAAATCGCAAAAAATACATGCGAAGCTAGTCTTTAATCGATCATATTATTTTTACTTTACTTTGGTATTTTGTCACGCGTATTATTTTCTGACAAAGCTTTTGCATCGGCAACACTCTGCGCAACAATTTTCAGGTCCTGCAATGCACGCTTGGCCAACTGGCCTTCCGGCGTATTTATTGGCTCCAAAAGTAACATCGTTAACGAGCGCTTCAAACAGCTATGAGAATCCTCCAATTGGGACAATAATTCTTGAGCCGATAGTTGACGCGAGGTATAGCCGCGTTTTGCTAAAATTGCAATTGGAAGGTGCATTTCATACAGCAGAATTCCTGCAAAAAACGAGCAATTATCCTGAGAGTATTGTTTCATGTCTTTAATTAACAAACCTTTCAGTCTCGAAATGCCCGGTTCAACGATTTCTAAAACCTCGAGTAATTCACGCTCCATAGCTAACATTTTCTCTAATGTTTTCTTTTGAGGATTGATGCTCGTCAATTCATTTCTGTAAACCGCTAGTATTTTTTGCTTCAAGCACAACATGAGATAGTGATTTGCGTGAAAAGTAAGTGATAATTTTTTCAATAGCTTTTCCATTTTCTGTAAAAAATTACGATTTCTTTGGTAACGAATATGAAATAATCATGTACAAGGGAAAGGCCCACCTTCTGATCTGATTCGTCCACTTGATCTATCAGTTGATTAGCTAGAGTAATAGTAGTTCTTATCAAACAACCATAGAATATGCTTTTGCACTTCTGACAGACCCACTTTGTTTTTTGATCATAAGGATCCAGATCCAGTGGTTTCTGCATAGCCACGTAGCTCTTTCGACAACGTGGACAGACAAGGCAGCTGAGATATGTGCCATTTTCCAGTGGATCTGTGCATGCATCACATTGACATCGGAAATACTTTCCGACTTGCAAGTGGTCTTGCCTGCTTGCAGTTCCCTGTGAATACGAGGTAAATAATGGTTATATATGTATATGCGCGCGAAATACAAATATACGTTATCGTAATTAGTAGGCAGATATGAGTGGGGTCGACACTATTTCTACGGAATTAGATTACAAAACATTCAATAGGCGTTCGAGCCGTAAGCATAGCTCCGACCAAACTACAAACCACGAGGGACGACGTGTAATTGAAGGTAATGAGATCGCCGGCCGTGAGGGGCAGCGCAGCGTACACGGTCATGCGGAAATGCTCGTCGACGCTGATGTGAGCGTTAGGTCGACACGAGTGTGCCATGAGGGCAGCTCTACGAAAAAGACCACGCAGACCACCCTTTGTGATCCCCGTCGCAATCCCAATGGGGCCGGCTGGGCTGCGTAGCTCGAACGTGTTGACGTCGACGATGCCGCAGAGCTTCTGAAGCGATTCATCCTGGTTGTGTTCCGTTGGTGCATAGAGGCTGAACTTCTTGAAGACCTGCGAGTACAAGTGTACATGTCCTTCACTTAAATGACAATGCGGCTCTAGATGACTTACATTAACTATCCTAGTTTCGCAATCTTTCCAGACTGCAGTGTTTCTGCGTTCGTTTAGGTGCGCTTCCATGCTCATAAGGCTGTTCCAAACGCCATCGTCTTCATCTTTCAACAGCCAAAGCCGCAAGTGTAGTAATACACGCGCGAGCAGATTCAAGTTGTTGAGCAGCGAGGCCTGCTTCTCTCGGAAAACGTTGCATTCTCTTGCAGCGTGAAACCCAATTGCATCCTGTACGTGAGCCAGCGTTTGTCTATTTGATCATTTGGACCATTCTATCGAGTACGAATGTCAAAAGTATAAAGCCATACCTCGCAAATCTTGCTACACAGAGGCGCAACGTTGCATTTGGAGCAGCAGTAACGGGGCTTACCATTTCGAAAATCCGACAACGAGCGCATGCATCCGAAGCAACAAATGTTTGGCTCGTCGCAAATATCAGAACCCACGGCTAACGGCTCTTCGCGTAGTATCACTTCTCCAGGTGACAAATTTTTCGCAGCTAGCATATGCCTATAGCCAGATGAAGACAGCGAATGACTAGATAATATATATACTATATGCAGCGGCTTACATAGATGTACGCATAGGAAAACTGTCGCGTACGTTTGCCAAACGTTTTTCGTTAAAATTAATTTCATTGAATAATTTATAAAAGATCTGGTTTAATTTGAGGCCTTTAAAAACGATCATAAGAAATTTACCTGCCCAATTTTTTCGAATTGCCAATGGTATACTTGTCGCTCTGAGCCTTGTCACAACGTGTTTTTCTTTCCATCTCTTTTGTTCACTCTGATTTCTTAATCTTTTGTCATGAAATGAACGTCAAACTAAAAATACTTGGGATAGAATGTAGTCGAAAGCTCGCTGTTCGCGAAACATCTCTGATCTTCTCGTGACGATTCATCGAACTATTATTAGAGTGAAGAAGCGTACTTTGCTACAAGATGCACAGTCTTCTCTCTCTCTCTCTCTCTCTCTCTCTCTCTCTCTCTCTCTCTCTCTCTCTCTCTCTCTCTCTCTCTCTTCTCTCTCTCTCTCTCTCTCGCACACGCGCGCGCGCGCGCGCGTATAATTAGATTGAGGTAAGTGTAAGTGAGATTTAATCGACGAGATCCTACGTTCAAACTACACCGAGGCAATTATTGCAATCTATATAGATTGAGTGGTTGATTGATTAACTTGCTCTTTTTATTGTTTCAAGCTTATTGTACAAAAATCTACATTTATTTCTAAAACCGAACACTCATTCTTGCATTAATAACGAAAATTAATAATATTTGCAAGAAATAGATTACAACCAATATGCAGATACGGTAGTTGTGAGCGCCTATTATATCAAAGAAATCTTATGTTATAGTTTATTTGAATGATGGCGACCTAAATCGATCAGGTATACATAGGCGCGTATACAACGTATATAAAAAATAAACCATCTTTTGTGTGTGTGTGTGTGTGTAGCTAAACGAGATTTACAGGTCGTCAATGGAAGTTTGCAGCTGAGCCATCGCCTGTTTGGCGCCTTCAGCGATTTCAGCCTCAGGCGTGCCTTTCGGCTCCAACGACAAAATATCAGCAGCTTGCTTGAGTATTGCCATAGCCTCGATCATCTTGGACTTAAGGGCTGCGTTGTCGATAGTCGAGGCTGTCCACTGAGATCTGGCGATAAATAGCAGCGGAGCGTGCAGCTCGTAGAGAATAATGCCTCGCGAGCGCGACATCCCAGGCTCTACAATGTCGAGCACTTGCAAAAGTTGACGACACATGTCTCGACTTTGTGCTCTAGAACAATGTCCGGTAGATCTTCCAATAGATACTGCTCAACGCGCCCGTACAGCTGACACAGCGAGTACCTGTAATGGAGTTTTCGAGGTTTTCCAGGGCAAATCAAATCGGAAAACGGATTAACGAATAATTGACGGTCGAGAGTGTTACGCACTTGGTCATAATGAGAAAAGCGTGTCGGGGATGTAGTGCCGAGTGATACTTTTTAATGAACTGCTCTCTGACGTGAATAGCGTCAGGGCCGTCGGCCAGCGTATATACCTCCGCTTGATCCATATCCCCTTGGATGATTTTCTGTACTCTATTCACCGCCGCTCCCCTCGTTGAGAACTCGCAGTGCGTGCATTTCCATTGGCTGTCCGCATCTGCAAATGTGCATGTGTTATCGTTAATGTCCGCGTACAATCAACGACGATCCATCAGATGTATTGTTCACTGAAGCAATAAGGAAGCAAGACAAATGCTGGCTGACAATGTCTTTGACGAACGATTAATTTTTTGGCTTGATCGAAAGAGGCGCTCAAAGTCCAATTAGCGTCCCCAAAAGGTTGACTATTGCACTTGGACAAAAGCTCGACTTGCAAATACGAAAGTGCGAAGCGTACCGAGCGAATCGAGCGGCACAACTAGGCCGTTGTCGCACTTGTTGCACTTCAGGGAGGATATGTGGCTGCCGAGTTCCGTGGGATCGGCGCACCTGTGACACACGCACGCGAAGTACTTGCTCTCGAGCAAATGCTCGCGCCTCAGCATCGTTGGTAGCAAGGCGTGCGTGTAATTACCGAACAGCTCACCACCAAGCGGCACTCTCACTGCTGTCCTCAGGTAAATCCTGCGAACAAAGCCGACCAATTCGTCCGTTTATCGACGAGGAATAAGACCATCCTGACGTATAATTCGAGCATAATGTATTTTCATTCGTACTTGTAATTCTCGGCTGGGCAGACACTGTGGACAGTGTTGGAGACGCACGAGTGATTCATCATCGCCACTTTTGGGTACAAAGCTCTCGCGACAAAACCCTTATCCGATCTGACTTCGTGGCAGTTGACTTCGAGCACACCGCAAGCGGTCTGGATCTGTTCTTCGGAAAATCTGCAATCACGCGTTGCAGAGCTCTGCATATAGAAGAAATCTGAGAGCTGCTGATTTAGAACCAGCAAATGGCAGATTGGTTCCTTTTACTACCTTTCAAGCTTCAGACGATTTCTAATATACTCGACGACGTTCACGTGGTCGGTTTTCCATTGGTCCTTTTGACTTCTCTTCTTGTTGTGAGCCTCCATGCCTTTGACTTCGCTGTTCCATCTCTCGGCGTCTTTCTCCGCGGCCAGTAGCAGTCTTAACGGAGTTATGCACTCGTAGTGCGGCAATCCGTGTAGATGCTCTTCGCTCAGTGCCGATTCCAAGTCAAACTTCTCCCCCAATTTCGCGAAGATCTGTTCAGGTTGTCACGACAATCAATCTTTTCAACATTCAACAATATCTTTCTAGCAGGTCAGTTGGCTCTTTTACTTCTTTTCAAATGCTCTTATGCAATCTTAACCGTATAAGTATTGTGCAGAACAAATTGACAGCAACTCATACATATATTTTGCATTAAATTTCGCATAAATATCCAAAGCGATCAAATGAAAAATTAATAAAAATTAATAAAAAAGCGGCAAAAGATGCCGACTTGCCTCGCACTCGTAATCTTTGTGATGCGGATGGTTCTCGCATTCTGTCGAGCAGACAGGCCAGGCACATGTCGAGCACAACGGCTGACTATCCTCGGTCGGCGGCCATGGACTATAGCAGCCTAAACAAATGGGATAGGTAGAAGCTTTCGGTCCAACGACGAATGGCTGCTCGGTAAGAATCTCCTCACCCTCTTGTAATTCTCTGCTGGCTATCAAGTATCTGCCAACCTGGTCATTTCTTTGCATTTCGTAGGCCAGTTTTTCCTGTGACACATGATCTTACGTTTTATAATTTGCCAATGTAGATGCGTCAAGATTCTCTAAGTTCAGCCACTGTATAGAAGATATTAAAGTGATGAATAGTCACTTAAAAGCACACACAAAATAAATAAATGAAATAAAAATAGAGTGCGCATAACTGCGACTTGACCCATTCACTTTCTTTCTCTACGCGCACTCGTCGTCTCGTCACGTGCCCGTCTAATTATACACACAGGTTGCGCTTTATTTTCAATCAGATCAATTAACGCGCACTTACCGACATGATCGAGTAACTCTGTGTCTTCGTTAAACTGCGTTCACTACTGTATGATGGTTGAACCGTCACTGGAGCTTGCGCGCGGATGTGCCGTAGCTTTTTATAATCGAAATCCCCGCCAAATAAACAGGCGAGCACACGCATGGGCCAATAGTACAATCTAGATTGCATCTCATCTCCCTCTCTCTTTCGAGCGACTTCGAGTGTGTGGTATATAACTTGCTTCCCTCAGTATTTTTGGCTCCGAGAAATCTTTCGACCACGACAGAGAAACTTCCAACAGTTTCTCGCTCTCGCAGATTATAGTTTATTGATTCTGAGGCGCGAGCTATGTTACGAAAGCTTCGATGTTTTCAAACAAGTGGTGGAAAATGGTGGAACTTGCGGATTTGCAGGGCGCAAACTTTGATGCCGTTTGTTTTTCTTCGTCGATAAGAGCAGTTCCACTTCGACTGGCTTACTTTTCAAGATGTACGCGCTCTTTCCGTCCCGAAGCTACAGTACGGCCGTAACGAGAAGGCTCGAGTCCGAGGGAACCAACAAATCCAGTCAGCGGCGGGGTGAGTCGTTTTTACTTTTATTCTTGAATAGCATTCAAATCAAAATAACGTCATTTCGTGTCGGCATCAACGGTAGGACGTACCTGTCAAAGCCATATATTGATAGGTCCGATGGGTAGATTTGCCGCATTTCCGATTATTTTTTAATAGGATTCCTGTTCAAATCATATTAATCCAACGAATGAATAAGCTTCACTTTAATATTGAAGTATCATTCATTTTCGAGAATCATCATTGTACGGTGTCAATTCCAAATTTATTATCCTTTTACTTTTCTTTATCTACTGTTCTACTTTAATATTTATAGTGGATTAACATATCAACCCAAGTAGCAAGAATTGTTTCAACTTCTCATCTATTATGTTTACATTGTACATAAATTTAATGATAAAATAATATCCACGTAACATCATACCATATTCAGTCAAAAATTTTCTGTATCCTAATTACCATAGGCTAATGTAAATATTTCCTACTTTATTACCATAAAATATTAAAAACTGTTATAATATTTAATTTTCAATATTTTAGTAATAATTTGACATGAATAATTTGTCAATTTCTCAGCAAAGGTGATTATTTTTTCTTTTAACATTATTCATTATTTGTCCAAAATGTTCACGTTTTTGGCACAAGTGATGTATATGATGAACAACTCATTTCCATAATATTATAATAATAACGAAAGTCGGATGCATTTTTCAATTTGATCGAGAATTTAACTTATTCCATCTTCACAGTTTGGACGATTTATAGAAAACATACGCTGGACTTTTAGACACTTTTATCATTATAATTTCAATGCAGGTTAGACAGTGAGTGTTCTGATTACCGGCAGCTTAACGAATCAATGTATCAATTACCGGCATTTTAAAATGTATTCAATTTGTAAAGTTACAATAGGACATAAATATAATATCAAAATATTCAATATGCACTGCAGCACAATTTAAAACAGTTACACAACTGAAAAAATGGAAAAAAACATCCTTTATTTGCATTTGCTTTTTGACCGGTAATTGGCTTCAAGAAAAAGTCGAATGTACCGATATCCGGCCACTTTAATTTATACTTTGATTGTCAAAGAAATATATTTGATATTTTTATGTGATGAAACAAGTCGTAATCCATTAAATATATTGTATAGATTAATACCAAATCAATTATTGTGATTATACGTTGCCCAAATGTATTAAATTAAATTAAATTAAATTAAATGAAAGGGACCGGGCAGTGGGTGCAGTGGGGGTCGATAATAGGGACCGCTCACCCTATATATCACATCAAATTGTTTACCTTGTAATTTTTAACTTACTAATTAAATAATGAAACACGATGCAATAAATCAATATGATCATACCACAATTAATATAGTAAATTTTCAGTACTTTTTTTACCATCTTTCAAAAAGTGTGACATCTACGTAAGCGCTCATTTGCGCAAGCGCATATCGCGACTATACCGACTCTTAACTTAACTCTTGTACTCTACTCTATAATATCGGATATTCTATCCTCTCCTCTCTGCGTACGTACGCAGCACGTACACAGTCTGAACAGAATTCAGACGGAGTCTAACCAGGGTTGTTCCCTATTCGTGAATTATTCGACTCGGCCGATTGAAACTTGAGAGTAAGTAAGTAATCTTCAATTAGTGCTCAAAAACTGAGCACAACTAACGATGATTGTGTAACATTTGCGTGTAGAAATGACATGACAAAACGGGAGAAAAATTCGGAAGAATGAGCGGCCAAGCGGGAAGTATTCGTTGCCGGTATGCGCACGCTCCAGTAAAATGTCGTCTGCCGTGGCCATGATCCAAAGCGTGCCTTTGTGAATTATAACTGCCATTCGTCGTTACCTTATTGATATCTTTTATTTACAACGGTTCAGTAGTTCGCTTTCTTTTTATTCTAAAGAAAATTGCATGCGGGTTGAAACGGGAAAACGAGAGATTGCCCTTCACGCTTTCAATGAAAATTGATAATTTACGCCTTATGTAATAGTTAGGGCAGTTCAATACCGCCTCTTTCTAGTCTTAAGCTACCAGTCTTGTCGTTGAATCGACACTGCAAAACTTGAGAGAAGTATATGTTACAAGTTTTTAGTGTTTCATAGAATGACGAGAGGTAGGATTTAGGTAATAAGGTGAAGGTTAATCGACCGTGAAGAGGAGTGGCATCGATTTTCACTTGAACCGTCACAACGAAAGTTATACCAATAAAACAATCGACTCATTAAGATTTTCTGTGCTCACGACTGATTTTTTTTTAATAATTTCCTTGTACACCCATGTGTCAAACCGTTGCTTCCCTGATCAATTGATTTGACTCCTCTATCATTCAGCCATTAATTTGAAAGACTGCTGGTTTCCTTCATCATTGGTTTTATTTTATTCTCTTTATTGCCATTTTGTCACATGAAAAAGTATTCAATGTAATTAGGTCTACAAAGATAATAAGAATTATATTGTTATACTTAAGAAAATATTCCTCAAAAGTTATCTCAAGTTTCATTACCATATCTACTGCCATCTTGTTACTAAATCTAATTTTCTTATTCAATAGAAAATGTCTCCCCCAACTTATGGTGATCTTGGTAAGAATGCACGTGATGTATTTGGTAAAGGATACCACTTTGGTCTCTTCAAGCTTGACGTGAGGACTAAGACAGACTGTGGTGTTGAGTTCTCTTCTGGTGGTGTATCCAATCAGGATACCGGCAAAGTCTTTGGTACCCTTGAAAGCAAATACAAGGTTAAGGATTATGGCCTTACTTTTGTTGAAAAATGGAATACAGACAATACTCTTGGTGCCGATATTACTCTTGCTGATAAGCTACTCAAAGGTCTCACTATTGGTTACAGTTCCACTTTCTCTCCTCAAACTGGGTAAGTTTAAAGATATTTTGTCCAACAACTATCTTATTACTCGTTTATTCAGAATTCTTTTTTTTCAAATTTAATTATTCAGTTCACAGTAAATGTTTCTCTTTTTTCTATTTGCACAAAAAATGTTATACACTGAAAAGTAGATACAAATGTGAATGTGTATTACATTCAATCTTATTTTATTTTGTTTATAGACTCAAAACTGGCAAATTGAAGAGTACATATAAACATGAAAATGTTGCTGTCACTGCTGATTTTGATCTGAGTCTTTCAGCTGGCCCTCTGATCAATGCTACTTCTGTTATTGGATATCAAGGTAAGATTAATAAAATTATTTCAAACTTTTAACAATAAGGAGCACTACTTAATTTTTATTATATTACAGGTTGGTTAGCTGGATACCAAGTTGGTTTTGATTCTCAAACCAAGAAAGTTACAAAGAACAATTTTGCACTTGGCTTCAACGCATCTGATTTCCATCTTCACACATCTGTGTAAATGAACAAAATCAAATAAATTATAACAAATTTTATATTGAAAATGTTTTTTTTCTGCAGTACTAACAATATATAATATATTTATTGTTTTAGTGACAATGGTCGTGAATTCGGAGGATCAATATACCATAAGATCAATTCCAAACTTGATGGTGCTATTAATTTAGCTTGGAATTCTAGCAACAATGTAACACAATTTGGTCTTGGTACCAAGTATGATCTTGACAAGGACGTTAGTGTGAGGGCCAAGGTTAACTCTCAACTACAAATTGGTTTGGGATATCAGCAAAAATTGCACAGTGGTTAGTATACTTGAAATTTTTTTTGAATGATTTGTTTAAAAGTAGTCTAAGATTATTTTTATTGGTTTTTGGGGCATATAAAATTTATAAAAGCTGTTATGTAATAGAATGTGTTTGAGAGACATGAAGGAATCTTGAATCCTACGGTAGTTTGAGCAAACAGTCTACAGTTTGTTATTTATAGTGCCTCATATGCTAATTTATAAATAGGTTTTCACTTAGAGTGAACTCAAACTTAGTTACATCTTCATTTCGCACCTTTATGAACATTTAAATTAATTTATTGAAAATTCAAAATATTAGACTCCATTTATAAATACTTTTTTCAAAAATGTAAATTTAATTAATTATATTACAGGTGTTACTCTTACTCTTTCTGCAAACATTGATGGCAAGAATTTTGGATCTGGTGGTCATAAAGTTGGTCTGGCACTAGATTTGGAGGCTTAAGTCTCAAGATCAAAGTGAATCCTACCCCTTTCGAAAAAACATACTTCATTACACTTGCGTCATAATGAACATGTCTCAATCATGCTTCAGACCGGTCATTGCCTGTAATGTAATGTAATGTAGGTAGATTTGCCCTTGCAAAGGGTTACCTGAACTTTATTGCATATTGTATAAGGGACAGTTTATGTCGTTTGTTCACTCAGCCAGCTGGATGAAGATTGGAAGAGATGCGGTATGAAATGTGACGCAAATTAAAATTCTAATAAATGCAAGATTTAAAAATCTCCGTATTATACTGCTGTAAAAAGCAAATGATTTGTTAAATTTTAGACGTCAGCTTCATAGTATCAACACATTGACTCTAGTAAGATACGATATGGAACTATCCATAGCAACAATAAAGTTGAGACGAAAAATGAAAACAACTTGCATATTATGTTTTACTTTAAAATACATCTTTTCATTTTTTTTATGTGCATTTTCTGTAGGTCATTAATTTTTGTAGTATCGTATGTACATTGATGATACTCCTGTGGAATCACCCATACACATTTAGTTTTCTGACTGTTGTTTCAATAAAGTTAAATCATAACAAAAGAATTTTAATTAATGATTTATTTACAAAAGAACGGATCTTATTTCAAGTGCTCCTTTTTATCTAGTTCTAAGGAAAGTTTTTTGAAAGATTACCTTAAAAAATTATAAATATTATATTCGTATTATAAGCTTTGTTTTTCTTGGTTGATTGTGGCACTGATGGTACATCATACACATGGAGCAATCATATTTTCAAACTTACACATTAGAACGATTGTGAGAACTTAATATTACTTAAATTAACTCTTAAAAAATTCAGTGCACCATCTGATCTTCCATAGCTTTAGCTATCCATTCTGGTTCAGTTTGAGCAATTTTTTCTATAATTTGGTTCACTTGATAACAAAGAGACTGAATTTGTTTGTCCCATGTGGGTAGACTTTCTCGAGCTGCAGGAAAAAATATTTGGAAATGAGCATCTTAAATTCTAAGTATACTTTTACAGAGTTACAAAAAAACCTTAAATAATTGAAAGCATACTCACTTTCAAAATGTACGATAGAATCAATTTGATCTATGTATCCATTCATTCTACTCTCAGTTATCATTTGACTTGCAATTTTTTCAGCTTTACCTGGTGGAATTTCAAGAAGTGATCCTAATTCTTCAAAAGTAATGTTATTGTACAGCTTACTAGCAGATAGTAAGTTATGTTCAATGACAGCTCGATCCAGAATTGTAGAACCTAACCCATCAGATGTACATGCTTTCTGATGTGGTTGTAAAAGTGCTTCAAATTCTTGGAGTTCTGATCTACGAATAATTCTATCCAAATACATTTTTTCCAATATTGAGTAAGCTGGTAACTGTTGGCATCTTTCATCTTTGAATAATGTTGCTAACATACGACTTCTCTGTTGACCAGCTGAAGCAAGTACTGTACAAATAAGAGCATTTCTTAGAGCAGTCATGCGCTCATCTTCATGAATGATAGATCTATATGATAATTCATTATATCTTTGAGCTGCTTCAATAAACTTTCTTCTATAATCCAGTACTCTTGCGTAACAAACTTTATAGTAAATCTGTAATTGCTCATTTTTAGATTCGGCCTATGCAACAAAGAAAGTAGTATTAGTATACTTTGAATTTTATTGTACAAAATAATTATAACTTAAATTATGCAAAATACCTGTAAAAGGGAAGCTCTATTAATAAATGCTTCAGCTTGAATAGGATCATCATCTTCCAAATAGAGTCTTGCTATTTTGAGATATGTTTCAAGTTTGTAATCAACTGTATATTGCCTATAAAGGCAAAGTTAAATAAATTTGTAATAAATGGAAACATTAATAAAAATTACATTAAATATGTAACTATCAAATCTTACTTTTGTCCAGTCTCTAAAGGTATACCAACGAGTACATTAGCTGCTTCACGCCAGTTCTGTTCTCGTTCATATATGTCAGCTAAGTGTTGTCTTATACTTGCAACTTGCTCTTCGAAAGAGATGACTCTAGGTTGTACCTAAATAATCATAGAACAAGGTCAAATAATAATATTTGACATATTTAGAGAAACATAGAAATACTTAAAAATACCTTATCTAATGTGAAGTGTGAAACAGCTTTTGAAATTTGATCTGGTACAACTTGCAATCGGCTACTTACATCAGTTAGTACTTGTCTGGAAATAACCAAACTAACATTCTCGTTAACAACTGAAACAAAACACGTACATTAATTAACAAATCTCCGACAATAAAGTGTTTATCGAAAGAACATTAACAATCAACATACTTGCTTCAATGAACACTTTCAAATTCTCAGAGAGCTCCTCACCGGACGTTGCACATATCGCATCCAAGATCGCTTTGTACCTATACAAAAACAGACAGATTTATTGTTTGTTCAATAAAAAAGTGACATAGCATTTGATTGTTAACTTACTTTTCAGCTTGATCTTTATGAGAACCACCAGAATGGGTCAAATTTGCAAGTTGTTGACGTACTGCTGAGGCCATTGTTTCAATCTTATTTGCCTAAAAATGAAACATTACAAGGCAGCAGGATATCATCAGCAACAATGCTAAATAGCAAATAGCGAATGGCGTTCTGTGCGCAGTCGCAGCCCCTTGCTTGGTCAGGTTATGGTCATTAGTCAGGTCTGGTTATGATTCATCACGAATTTCATGCATTGGTGTATTGGTATTGACAAACTATACTTATATAAACATTGAAATTCGATCAATGTGATAATCATAATATATATCTGTTTTATACTGAGATATATTTTATGTAATATATATATTTCATTAAAAAATACATTTAGAACAAAGAATATAATTTATTTTTTCTAATATCTAAGTAATTTGAAATATTGAAAAAAAACATGAAAAATTTGTTTGTTGTAATATTTTAAAAATTAAGTTTGCATTAGCAAATTTTAATTAATGTAATTAATTGATATACTGATTATCACTATATATATAGTAATGAAATTGTTTAGTTTTAGGAACGCATTCACACAAACGCGTAGCGTACGCATGCGCATTACTAATTTTGAATAGCGTAAGTTGTAATATTGATATTAATTGGTTATCTAATTTCTTCTTGCCTTGAGTAAATAGTACTAAAAATAGCTCAGCTTTCCAGTTAATAATTACGGAGAGCCTAAGTACTTAATATACAAAATTAGGTCTAAAAATACCATCAAATATTGTGGAGCGCATCAAAATTAACGAATATTAAAACAGTATAAAAGAAGCTATTATAATTATAATTGTTGTTATTAAACCTAATTGATGATTAATATGAATAGTTTAATTGGCGAAAGACTGGGTAGAAATTGACCATAGCGCATTATCGAGAAATCATCGATAGCGAACAATTTTCTTGAATCCAATTAGTACGTAGTTTTTAGAGCTTCAGCAACGAATTTTTCAAAGGAAATTTTAATTAATTAATCGCAATATATGAACGATCTTCTTGTAATCATATTAATTAAGCCCAAATGTCTATTAAGATCGTCGTTGTAAAATCATGCAATACAAGCTTTCGTGGTTAAAAATATAACATAGAAAATTAACATATATAGTTCAATTGAGAATTCGACTAATTCGAGAGTGAAAAAGAATCGTTTACATCGGCTTTCGGAACGCGGCTTCGGTGGAGTCTGCTTGTGATTGGTTGGTGAGTGCAGCGGCGCCAGCATTTTACGGGCTGCTTTTAGCCGCGGAAGGGTAATAGAACATGGCGAAATCGAATATTGTAAAGTGCGCAAAAGTTATCTCTCGTAAATAATTATTCCGGTATCGACGAGGTCAGTGTTAACAGTCAAGATTCTGAATATTGATGCTGTGCCGTTATCCATCAAAACAAAGTATACATAAAATATTTGGACCTGTTTATAGCAGCGCTACGGTGGCTACGCGGCGTACAGTGTGTAGCTTGGGACAGTAATGGTGGGCGCGTGATTTTAAACAAAATCTTTCTATTTCGAGACTAATTTTGCGGTAAGCGATGATAAAGTTGACAATTTTTCATAAAGATCGTGGCAAGTTTTATAATAACTTCAAAGTGAGTTTTTGAGCCAACGTAACAAATTAAATTTGTCGAGAGAAAAAGATACCTATTTTAGAGCGACGCCCCCACCCAAGCACTTTTGCTCTTCTATCTCTATCTCTTTCTCACTTGCTCTCACTTCACACTTTTCTTTCAATACGAAATTTCGAATGTTAGGTTAAGTGGTTATACGGCACTTTTTATCCTGCTTGGAAATGCTAGGAAGTCGTCCAGTTTCTTTAAGATTTATAAGAAATTTAGTGTTTCGACAAGAGTAATTTATTCAAATTACATTGAGTACAGTAGTTATTGAATTTACGTGAGATGGAATTAAAGTTGTCTTCGTGGAAAATGGCGCGTTCGAAACAGTAATGGCGCTAATGTTCCTTCACTTACGGTACGCTTCGAATGTTTGCATATTTTTATTAAAATTACCTGTTTATGATGCTCAAAAATGAATTTCTTACTTTTTGTCTTCGCAATATGATTCGGCTATGTATATTAATATCAAGTACTGCAGTCATGAATTTTTGTGCAGCATTGACTTACGTTTGAATTTTTGAATTTTTAAATCTAGAACAAGATGTACTTTTGTAATTCAAAAAATGGTCAATTTATTACGAATATCGTAGAGTACCTATTCATTATAAATCATTTTTTCTGGTACACTACATTAAAATTCAATCTTAGGGAAATCAATAGTAAGATAACATTTCCATTAGACCTATTATCTAAATTCTATCATTTATTTACAATTGGGAATTTTGCAAGCTTCTTGTATTACATATGAGAATAAAATTTCTGACATAACCATTTTGCTTTACAGAAAGTTGTTTTAATAAAAAACCCACAATGTCAGCAAGTAAAAATCAAAGCAGCCGAACCGTTGTGGAGCCAGTGGCTCTTACCTCTCAAAATATGTCTGATACAGAATTGAGTTCTTTAACTTTATCTCACACTGGGGAACAGTACGTTTCAAGTGATTATGAGACACTTACAAATATTGAAGCTGAATTAGAGTGTATGAATGCAGAAGAAGTTATGGCCACTGAAGAAACTCATACAGTTATCGAGGAAATGACTGAGAGTGAAACTATTTTGCCAGATGTTGAAATGACTGAAGTACCAACAGAAGTACAGACTGAACAGATTATCTATACAACTGCTGCTTCGGCCACCCAAAATATGATACTTCAAACAAAACCAACGTTACAGAAGGTATCTCCGACAACGACAGTTCCAGTGTGTATCAATATATACATTTTTATTGTTCTTTTCTTTGTTATAGTACAAATTTTATTGAATACTAATTACATTATTAATGTTTCTTACAGATAAAACCAAATGTTACTCAGTCAGCTCAGCAAAGTCAGTCAATAATGATTGTATCTCCAGCATCAGGTCAGGGTGCAAGTCAAATTTTGAAAATTTCTCATCCAGCGTCAGCTTCTCCCAATCAGCTGCAAACATTAGCGCAGAGTATAATAGCTGGCAAGTCTCCAGATGGTAGTATAGTACAAATAAGGTCAACACCTACTGGAGCCAAGGCTATTGCTGCTAAAGGTAGTGGAAACACTTCCCAAGTCAATAAAGCAATTCAAGCTAAACGAAGTGCTTCAAATGCTCAACAAAATAGGAGTGTAAGTAAAATTTTAATCTGCTAAAATAATTTTGTATTGATTATGCATTTTTATTTAGTTTATTTAAATCAGTTTTAATATTTTGTTATAGGTATATACTACAAAAATGATCCTTGCAAATACCCAGCCTCAGAGTAGTCAGCAAGTCTTAATTGCATCTCCGACGGAAGGTCAACAAGGACAAACAATTAAGTTCATACAAACTAATACATCAAATTACAATGTAAATAGTCCAACAAAAACTATTACTTTTGCTCAAGCGCAACAAATGGGTCTTTTACCTACAAATAAGGTTCAACATATTTTGCCATCAACAGCTCAAAAACAAACAACTGTAAATATATTTTACCTGAGAAGCATATTTAAAAGAAATATATTGAATATCACTGAATTTTAATTAAAATATATGAAATGATCATCTTTTGTAGGGATTGATTGTTAACAAATTAGTACAATCTACTTCTGCTCAACCGGCTAAATTGACAATAGTTCCCAGTAGTTCGGTGAAATCGCCAACAAAAATCTTACCAGCTCCATCTACATCTGCTCAATCAAAAGTTGTAAACGTACAAACTGCAACTGTGAATAAATCTGGACAGTCAAGTACACAGAAAGTTATCATAAGACAGGTAATGTTGACAGATAATAACTTGAAAAAATCAATGAATAAGTGAAATCAGTGGAATATTAATTTCATAACATTTTTTATTTAGAGTGCAATGAAAGCTGGAGCAAATAGTAATCCAATTATAAGGATACCAGCTAATCAAGCTGGTCAAGTTCATCAAATCCAAGTACCTGGGCGACAAGTAAGAATATGAAAATTTGATAGATTACAGTAAAACAATATTATACAGAATGTAAATTTTTATTTTTAACTGGTTCTAGGTCCAGTACGTTCGTCTCGTAAGTACACCATCAACAACAACCAACAATGTTGTAACTGTTGGAAAAACGAAAACACCTACAACTCTTCAAACCGTTGGGGTAACTCAAAAAATTGGTGGACAGCAGATTGTTAAAGTATACAAGGAAATTTAAATAATAATATTTAACAATTATTCATCAATATAATAACGATAATTTTATAAATACAGGTCGTTCCTTTAAATACTGGGAGTCAAACATTGAGAACTGTAGCACCTAAAACATCAATAGCAAGTAGCAGTCAAAGAATAATTATTCCAGCTTCCACTAATGTAGGAGGTCAGTCAAAAAATACTGTAACAATTCCTGCTTCAGCGCTCAGTCAACTTACATCAGGCCAAGCAGTCATATCTGCTAATTCCAATATCGTTGTTCTCCCTGCACAGTATCTCCAACAGGTTAGAACTACTATTTCAGTTTTATTTATTTATTTTTATTTATTGCCAATATTTTATAATCGCGTTGCTTTTAATAAAATATAATTTATACATCAGGGGGATGAACCAGCAAAGCCTAAACCACAATCGTTAACCCCAACTTTATTAAATACTTCACAAAGCTCGCAAAGTTCTATTGGAAACACGTCAACTCCTTCTTTGTCAGATTTAAAGACATCTAGATCATTTAATAATGCAGACGCTAATGGCATTAGACCGCGAAAACCATGTAATTGTACGAAATCGCAATGTTTGAAATTGTGAGTATTAAGAGAATATTTATTATATGATTTATTTTACGGCTATGATGGAAAGTTTTGATTCAATTGATTAATAACTAGATGAATTTTTATTTATTTATCAGCCCAATTAAAATGATAACGATATTTACTTGATAAACTTGAAAAATTTAAGTTTAATAGTGAAATTGAAATTTTTATGCTATATACAATACCATAAATTTATTTTTTAATTTTCAAATCTTTTCAACAAGTGTTTTTTCTTGCTGTAAATTAACTTAATTAATAAACATTAATGCGAAATTTTGTTTACACCATATCGATAAAGAATTCTACGTTTAGTTGGAATAATACACGACAATCAATTGTTTTTGTTCTATTCCTACGAAAAAATATAGTCTAGCAGTTCTCGAAAAAAGATATATCGTTAAATTAGAAAAATGCTCATTGTACATATATATTTTTTTGTGTAAACAATATGAGCCGCAAAAATATACTGAAATCATTAGACAACTTTATGTATCAATATGTATGCGTGTAGATACTGCGATTGTTTCGCCAATGGAGAATTCTGTCATATGTGCAATTGCAACAACTGTTCCAATAACCTTGGAAACGAGGAAGAACGACAAAGGGCGATCAAATCCTGTTTGGAACGAAATCCTAATGCTTTTCGTCCGAAAATCGGTAAAGCTCGGGAGACTGGAGATGACATTAGGCGACATAACAAAGGTTGCAACTGTAAACGCAGCGGCTGCTTGAAAAACTATTGCGAGTGCTATGAGGTGAGTTTCTTCAGTTTTTATTTGTCATGTTTAAATGAATGTTAATTTCATGACTTGTTAAATTTTTGTTAAAGAGGAGAGGTAGATTATTCGTTTTTCTATTAATAAATTTTTTATACGTGACTATGTATACCATGAAAATGATTTTCTCTGTGTAATGATTATTTAAAAACGAACATTTGTCAATACATTTTTCTAGGCTAAAATTCCGTGTTCTGAGAACTGCAAGTGCATTGGTTGTCGGAACGTAGAAGAGCCTACAGTCCATAAACAATCGCTAAAAGACTTGGTAGAAGCTGTAGAAGTTAGATCAGCACAGTTGACCTTAAACAAGACAAAATCGTTACAAATGTCAGATCCAACTTTCAGACCTCCTGCTGCCTCCAATAGTGGTGCAAGGTAGCTATCGCCATTAGATTTACTTAAATTTTACAACGGTTACTCGATCAATTCTTCGTATATTTTCAGACAACCATTCAACTTTTTGACTGATAAAGTAGTTGAGATGACATGCCAATGTTTGATGGCACAGGCAGAAGAATCTGAACGAAACATGATTGACGACGAGACGTCACAAAAATTGATAATTGAAGAATTTGGGCGATGTCTGAAGGAAATTATCGAATCGGCGCATAAAGCAGAATCGACGTAGCAGGGATATCATAATAGTGATATTTCCTTTTTGCAATGTTCATCATAGATGATTGTAATTTTTACTATTGAAACATTTAACAGAAGAAACGATAGATTTATAATTCATTCTATTGATGCCAAAGACAGTAGGTTGAATTAATCAATTAAAAAATTGAAATGCTGTGTTTGGTGATCTTTAATGTTGTACAGTGCGACATTTTACTGGCTTCTTAGTATAGCTTCCTTCGTGGCTTTTTCTATTTATACATTTTTAAGCTGTACATTTCAAAGTATTTTTTAAATAATTCATTTAAATAATTATTTTTATTATATTTTTAACAGATTCAGTGAGGAATTACAAATTTGCATCTTGTTAAAAAAATAACTGTAAAAAAGTAAAACAGTTTTTTATTTTTGAACAAGACATTTTATATTTATTAAGAGAGTTAACGATATTCTTTGAACTGAATCTATTAGAAAAAATAGAGAATAATTCTCAATTGTATAAATATTTTGATTAAGAGCCTTCTACTTGTATATATAATACACTAAGATAGAGAAAATTTGCTTCCTTGATTTTGTTATGAGAAAGTATAACATTTTATAGGTATATAATTCAATAATTTCGTATTTTATAATTGAATTAATTCAATTGTAGCTCATTTGATGAAGCCGATCATTTTTTTAAATTCGCTCTTTATAATAAAATTAACCTGTCACTCGCTAAACAAATGAAAGTCAATACTTACGATGACAAGTGAATTGTAAAAAAATTATCTTTAAAATAAAAAGTTTAACCAAACGAACTACGATTGAATCAATGCAATTTGTACAATACTAAATTATCAAATAATACATTGTTTCCACGTAATTATACATGCTAAACAGGAAAGACAAATTTTCTATAACCTGGAGTGCTATATATACATGTACTTTAAAAGGAAAATTAAACTTTGAACTTTACTAAAATTACGTTAAGTCAAACTATGACCGAAAATCAACTGAAATAATAAATAATACAAAAAATTTTTTAAATTGTTGATAGCTGTGATATGCTATAAATTGATTAATTCCCTTTGAAATTAGGTATAAAAAAACAGACAAAAGTTTAATTTTCTCAACAGAGCATATGTATATTGATATTTAGTGTTATGCAATAAAATATTCACACTAAAAGTGTACTAGATAGTCGAATGAAGAAGTTAAATACTTACAAGATAAAAAAAATGTAATTTCAAACTGAATTTGTACTGCTATAAAATTCGACTGGTCAGACTTGATTAATCATTAATGTTCATCTACTTTCTGCAAATAATTTAAATTTGTTTGAAATTATGTATGATCAAATCACCAATTACTAATATATTTTAACAAGTATTAAATAGAAAACATTGATGTACAATGCATATGCATAGATACTTGTATAAAAGAACTATAATGGATTATAAAATATAAATTAAAGTTTTTATATTGAAATCAGTAAATTTATATGTTGTTTGAAGATTCAGATATGTATATTGAATATCGTAAAGACATATAAGTACAGCGATAGTGGCTGCTAGCATAATTAATTAGAGAACTGTTGCAAATATAATGCACACCATTTTTAATTACGTACACTGAATAATAATTAATACCATCTATGTAAAAGCTATAGAATATGAAATCAATATATTGCATATAATAGAAACAGATAAAAGTGAAATATTGTAAATTAATCATAAATAAAACATAAAGTAATGAATCTGTCGATAAGCTTAATCATAAAAGTAAGAATTTTTACCTCATAACATTATAAAAATTTATTTTGAAAACAGTTGCAAATCAATATATTAATTTATTTTAAAATTTTACAATTTTTTTAACAGGTGTTTTTAATGGTGGTTTTGTAACAATATTACTATCTAATGATTCCAGATTAGAATCTTTTATGGTATCAAGGACGATGGATATTTCTTCTTTTTGTTTAATTAAATCTGGACAATCTTTTTTCAAATGTGTTACATCACCACAAATTTTACAACAACCACCATCAGGAAATAAGCCTTTTGGATTATCTGGACATTGTTTAGCAATATGCCCTTGTTCTCTACATATAAAACACTTTGCATATCTATAATCATCTGACTTAGTAACCTTACACTCAAAGTGAGTATGCTCTGTAGATCCACATTTGAAACATATTCCTGTACCTGCTTCTTCCTTGCCAAGTTCTGGGCAATCAGATAGATTATGACCAGCTTTTCTGCAGTGAAAACAAACTTGTCTCCGTATTCGAGCCAAGACTTTTTCACACTTTCTCCTTTCTAATTTCATGGCAGCATTTATTTCTGATTCAGGTATGCCTAACATTTTATGTTAATGATTAATTGAAAAATAACATTTTTATAGTTAAAGTACTAGCATTATAATATTTTTGCTTACCTTTCAGAACTAATTTTTGTCTTAATTCTTTCAATCGTTCTGCATCGTCTTTTTTCACTGGAAAACCATCGTATTTTACAATTTCTACATCCATTCCATTTATTGTAACTTTCAGTATATTATTATCAAGTTTTCTTCTTTGATGACTTCTATCATCTTTATTTTTGGCTACTTTTCTTTGAAATTTTTTTGGTACATTGTTGCCAAATCTTCTGAAATTCTTAAAATCAAACCGAGACCACTTGTCACTTTTATTATCAAAACAAGCAGTGCTAGCAAATTGTCCATCACGATTGTCATCAATTTTTCTTCTTTTACCAATTTCCACAGAATTATTCCAATCATTTCCTTCAACATTGAACATGTTTATATTAGAGGCTTCGTTTTGAGGTTCGTTGATCTGATCTTGTTTTTTCTTGTTTCTTTTTTGTCTCTTACTTAATTTTGTGTTTGATTCATCAAGTTTATTATAGACTTTTTGTTTACTAACGGTTGTATCTTTAGAAGCCGACTTAGACAATTCGATTGCTTTATACTTTTTCTTTTTATCAATATCTTCTGTATCATTCGAATCTTTTGCAAAATAATCTTCAGTAGGATTATCCGATTTGGTATTATTTTTTTGTTTTTTATCAATAGTACTTACAATATTTTCATCTTTTCCAGCTATTTTATTTGTACTAGCAGATTCAGCTGATCCTTTATGTTCTGAAAGATATTTTTTAGCAACTGCTTCAATCTTTTTCTGCTGACCCTTGGGTTTCTTTTCTATTTTACTATTTTTCACAGCATCAACTTTTGAATTTTCGAATTCTGCCCAATCGGTACTAATATTTCCCAAAGATTGTGCATAATAAACTGCATCATCTTTTTCTTTGAGCAATTGACGAGCAGATTTTGTTTTGTTTTGTGATATTTGTTGCATCTGCAAAGCTTCTTCCAGTTGTTGCTTCATAATATGCCATGGTGTTCCTTCATTGGGTACCCTCTCGTTCGAAGATTTTGAGCCTTTTGCTCGTGTAAAACGTGTCATAATGATATTTTATTCACGTACAATTCGATGATTAGGGAATGTAATAACGTAAATGTTGTAAAAGGAAATAAAATTGGTTTACGCTTACTTTTTTCAAAATAATTGTAAATACTCTAATAAGTGTAATACAATTGACAAATTTTTATGAAAATAATGGATTCTCCGTTTTGCCGACAAAGATATAAAACGTTGGTTATGCACTTATGTATAGCAAACATAACCTAGGATATTCACAAAATGTCTCTGACACATTCAAAAAGACATCAATTGTGACACTATCAGATATAACAAGACCAGTGTGCACTACGCAGTTGTTTGTGCGCCGATCTATAGAGACTTTGAGGGAGCGTGCATTTGAAATAAAGAAAATGAAAAATGATAAAGCTCAATAAAACATTTGCTCGAATTATTGCTGAAATTATTAATATTAATTTTGATATTTTAATTAATATTAATAATTTCTTATATAAGATCACTTTATTAAGTTTTATGAAAACTGAATGTGTCAGTAAAATTCTGTGAACACCTTATACAGGGTTATTCTATTATCGAAACCTAAATACCTAACTATCTCGTATGGTGTGTGTGTGTGTGTGTGTGTGTGTGTGTGTGTGTGTGTGTGTGTGTGTGTGTGTGTGTCATATAGATATTATATAATGGAAAATTCAAAACTGAAAATTTTAAATTCAATTTTTCATGAAAAATATTTTGAATAAACTAAATAATTTAAGCTAACGATAAGAACATCAGACCACTGCGGAAAATGATTTGATTTCTTTTTAAAGTTGGGGAGTAAAACAGGAATCTTTACAATCGATCTTCCATGATTAATATGTATAATGACAACATGACGCCAACAGCTGATCAAATGAACTAAATCAACTAAACAAACTGTAGGATTGCTGAACACCTCTAAATTTGAACGCTTACAATTTGTTTAGTTTATTTGATCAGCGATTGGTATTATGTTGGCATTAGTAACTATAACCCCAAACTTGCAGTGATTCCACTGGAATTGTATTTGTCGTACAGGAGCGTTTGTGCATATGCGACTGGGTCCAGAATAACGTCCCAGAAGTCCCAAGACCCAATCTCTATGAATCAAATCATGACTCCGTATGCGGTGTTCACGATTGATATGTGACTAAAAAGCGATGCAGTGGGACTGAGCGCTATACACGTGATACCCGTAGTTTAAATTAATCATTGCATGAACAGTTTTCAATAAAAACTGTTTTGTTTTCCATTATATAGAGAGGAAAAGAATTTTTTTGGCGATGCTGATGGAACTGAAAACAATAAAAAATATTTCTATTTGTTCTTTTGCAATAACTTATCGAAATAGAACGTTGTTTCCTAATAGACAATTTCTTACTGACTATATAGCGATATCTAGCGCACGAAGTGAAAACGAAATTGAATATGCATTAAATATTCTCATGATTTGATATGCGAGAAGTCCACGATATAATTTATTTGTAAATAAATGTACAGTTAATTATGTTGATAATAATGATATAAAAATGTTATCAATGAAGTCTTGTGTTTTTATTATCCCAAGTTCTACGTTAAAAAATCATGAAAAAGTTTGAAAAACATGAAAAAAAATTTAATATAAGATGTAAAAACATAGTCTTCTATAATTGTATCCTTCATAATGTATATAATAGACTTCTATATAGACGTTCACGATTGTAATTAGTGCATTCTCAAAAAAATGTTATAATATTTGACGTTATTGAATAAAGCCAAATCACAGTACAATATTTAACTGTAATAATCTATTGATTTACATCTTTCATTGCCTACTCTAATTATTCGAAGCTAAATTTTCGCACAGAACAAAGTTCAATTTATTTCTCTATCGAGCTATCAGTCCAAGTGCACCATATGTACTTTGAGCTCCTGAATCCGAATTTCGAGGATGGCTTGCTGCAAAATCAATTCATCAAAATTTTGTAAATTGTCATGCATATCTGATCTCACGAAAAACCTATATATTTTTCCAGGCCTAAAAAATTTTGAATAGAATTCGAGATATTAGATTTTTAGTTGAGCAGTTATGGTAACCACTTGCTGCATAACTTTTTATATTTACATCTCAATATTTCTAGTTTAATTCAATATTTTGTTAATCGGAAAGAACCTATGCATTCGTTATTCGATAAAAAATGCACAGTACTTTGAACAATGTTGATGTATCATAATTATTTATCTGTTGATGTGATTTGTCAATAACTAATTGCTAGTGTATTTTTCGATAATTCAGCCCGGACGTGCACGTTCAGCTCGTTGAAAGACGTAAAAATCTTATACATAGCTTGTTAGTAATTTGGAAATTATTATTTAATGAGATTTTAATTGTTTAATACATCATAAAGAAATTACCAAATAATTTAATAACATGCTAAAAGCATTGGCGTATATTTTACTTCATGAAAAATCCATAGAGCCTTAAAAATTTGAAGAATCTCAAGTAAATTTTAAAACATTTGCAATTTGGTTCGCGATGTGCCTCCTTGCACGAGTTTTTCTATATTCCGTTACATTTAGTTCAGAGCGCATAGTCTCCAGTAAAATTAAGGTAAGTAATTATTGCCGATTTTTTATAGTTCGAATTATCAGAAAGATTTTATTCAACGTTATTAAAAAAAAGAAAGGAAAAAGGATTTAATAAGTCCTTCATAAAGAGCACTTTTAGACTACTCACTCTTTTAAGAAAGGAAGATTTTCTTATATTTCAACAAGATGTTACTATATTTTCATGAAAAGTTTCTCTCTCTCTATATATATATGTATATATGTATATATATATATATATATATATATATAGAGAGAGAGAGAGAGAGAGAGAGAGAGAGAGAGGGAGAGCTGCATGCGTAATCTATAGATTGATGATCTATAGATTGTGTATACAGCCCGCAAGAGTTAAATAGGTGAAGATTGCGATCATGAGCAATAAATACAAACGGATTATTTTGGATAGATCTACATAATTTTTACTATCGCTGCTATGTTAATAGCCTACTAAACAAAAATTGTTTAATTATATCGATTATTTGAAAGATAACTTGTTTGCTGGCAGTATTTTACTATGCGTTCTTAAAGACGATGCTGTCAGTTGTAGATTATGAGTTTTATAGTTATACACGAAAATCGTTAGATTGTCAATGGGAGAAATTGTTTTTTCAATCGAATTTCGTAATTTCACATACAGTTATTTTTGGCCTTTTATAATAAAAATTGGTTGTGAAGCAGCTCGTATTATAATATTGGGGTTGAATAGCATTCGTTAGCACGTATCACTAAGCTGAATCGGAGAAAAAATGCGCGCACTACCAGAAAACAGATTGTTGTACTTATTGGAAGTAGTCTTTGAGCTTCATAAGATACTAGCTGTGAAAAGAAGACGATAGCGAGTTGACAGATTTGTGAAAAATGTAGTATCGGTTATAATATTCTCATACACCTGGTATAGATGCTTCTGGCTTTTGAAAGCGACTATCACGTTTACAATTATTATCGTATGCCTGTAATAGGAATACTGCTCCAATATAGAATATACGATTGGTAAATCAGTGAAATACACGTTCCAAGATGAAACGATAGGTCGATCTAGGTGAAACTATCTTGCAGTTTTTTCCATTGGAAGAATAACAGTTGACCGTTGCCAAGCATTTGTAGTTGATAATATTTGTCAGATGACCGGTCTCCAATTGGAAAGTGATTGGATTGGCACTTGCCCGTAAGACTCTCCGTTCGATTTGAAGAGATTAGTTGTGCGCGCACAGATTAGCCGGAAATGCAATCGCAAGATCGAACAGGCACTTTGCGTGCTCTGCTGGCGTGCACAATCTTCGGAATTGGACGTATTGGTCGAAGTGGTTCCGATCACCTGACGCACTTGAAGGTGTGCGCGAAGGAGACAATACCGCGTCCGTCGGCGACTTCTTCCTCAACGGTGTCGGCAAGCGGTCGGCCGCGAGTCTCCGGCAAGGCGAGACACGTGAACGCGGCGAGGAGGGCCAGCGTGCCGCACAGAGTGCTCGGAGCCCACCATGCCAAAATGCCCAGAAAGTCGACGCTGAACGGAGCTATTATGCTGCCAACATTGGCCATCGAGGAGCTCGTGCCCAGAGCCGAGTTTCGCGACATCTGGAATCGAGCAAGAACGGGAGCGGTGCAGTGCTCTGGCTATAGCGGATAGCCGGAAATAGGGAAATAGTCGTTGTCGAAAGCCTCACCGTCGGGAACAACTCGGAGGTGTAGAGGATGAAGATGCCGTAGGCGGCCGAGAGCGCGAATCTAGCCACGAGGCTGGCCGTCACGATGGCTCCGGTCCATTGGTGCGCCAACGCCAGCACGGTCAGCAGCAGCGCTCCGCAGATCGCGAACAATGCTGAACTTGCCAGCCGCCGACCCATCAGCATGAGGATTGGGCTTGGAAGCAGGTAGGCTGGGATCTCGGTTACTCCCAGCAGTACCGCGTACAGGTAGTAGTTCACCGAGATATTGTCCACGTTCAGAGCTGTGCGCAGGTGGTATTTCGACTATAGACGTGGCGCTGCGCAAAGTCGGTTACGACCGAAACTTACCTAACGCGTAGTAGGTGAGCGATGCACTCATCCAGGTGAAGTACGAAATGTAAGCTCTCCGCTGCAGTTCGGCATTGCCGAATATAATCTTCAGACCTTTCACCTGATCGGAGAGCAAGGAGCCTTGGGCTCTGCGATCGCCAATGGCGTGCGCCTCTCCGTCGGACCTTCGCAGGCCGTGAGACAAGTCGCGCGGGTCGTGCCTGATTGGCCCGCGATACTTTTCGAGGATTGCGCGAGCCTTGTCGCGCTTGCCTTGCGAGAGTAGCCATCGCGGGGATTCCGGCATGAACCTGCAAATCGCAATGTTTTCGACAAAGTTTAAGCAAAGCAAAGCAAAGCAAAGCAAAGCAGAGCAGAGCAGAGCAGAGCAGAGCAGAGCAGAGCATAGCTGGGCAAAATGATAATACAAAATGTTTGGCGGTTGGAAATACCAAGCGTCACGATTAGAGATCCGATTATCGAAACTCGTAACGAGTTTGCGCGCCGTACATACATCAGCAGCTGCACGGCGCATATTCTGAAAAAATTGTTGCTCGCGATGTGGTCAGCGATGAGCGAGCGAGCGATTGCAAGAGGATTCCCAATGATTGATGGTGCAAATGGCGACGCGCATAAAATGACGTAAGAATCATGAGAATTGGTGGCTAATGGCAGTCTGGGCGGTGCGTCGCGTCCAAGCGCAGAGCCGAAGAAGAAGAGCCGAGGTTGAAATCATTGATAATGGTGCTATTGAGGCGTGGAGCGATCGTGGAGCGATCGTCAGCCATTAAATCCACGCGATCTTTCGGGAAGAGAAAGTGAAGCCGTAGAGCTTGTTTTCAATCGGAGCGAGCGTGGCGCAGTAGTCCATTGTGCGCCAAGCGAAGGAAACAAGAGAGTGGTTGGCGCGTCTACGGCGCACGCCAGCCCGAGAGAGAGAGAGAGAGAGAGAGAGAGAGAGAGAGAGGCAAAGAAAAGGAAGGAGCGTGGCGGTGCGCGCGCGAAAGAAAGAATAATCGAGAGGCGAGCAGAGAAAAGAGGTTGGGCTGCAGGCGGCTACGGCGCGATATACCTACCACGCGAACAGTAGCAGCACGAGTGCAGGTAGCGAGGTGGCCACTTGGACCTGTCTCCACTGGCTGGCCAAATAAGATATTCCAGCGACGAGGATCGAGCCACTGGCAAAGCCACAATTGAAGACTATAGCCGTCCACTGTCTGTGCGTGTTGCCCGCCACCTCTGTCACTGCAACACACTCGCGCAGCTTGCTTACGCTACCGATATTACGTGACAATGACAGGCGCGCTCATCACGTGCCGACTGCCCGCGTGGCCGCCTGTCCGCCTGTCCGCCTGTCCGCTCTCGCCCCGACTCCCGACTCCCGACTCCCGACTCCCGACTCCCGACTCGGTGTCTGTCTAGCCGGCGGCCGGCTTTTGTCTTGTCGCCGTCGATTCGCTCGGCAGCGTCCTCTCTTTTCTTCCAAACTTGAAACCCGCGCAGCCGAGTCGACAGTCGACGCGTCGACCGACAAAAAATAAATCTCGCCAAAGAAAGTCGTTGGTTGGACTTACGCGTGGTGAGGGAAGAAAACTGGGTGGCCGAGAAGCTGACGCCAGTCAAGAGCCTGAGAACGACGAAAGCCCAGTACCACGGCACGTACGCACTGGCAGGTCCAGCGATGGCGAACATCACTATGCCGAGAGCGTAGACGGCCTTTCTGCCGTAGCGATCGGAGCTTACACCTAAGACGGCCGAGCCCAGCAGTTTGCCCAGTGACAGGGCCATGTGGGTGGTCGCGCGCTTCGGAGCGTCGCGGCACACCAAGTCCCACTGCGTCCAAATCAATTGGGCATCGCTCAGTCGCATTCCCAAGTCGCGCTTGCGGCGAAAGCCGAGTAGGTGAGCGCGCGCGCGCGCGCGCCCCATGCCAAATTCAATCGGGCCAGCACGTGTCCGCTGCGTCCGCCGCGTCCGCCTGGCCCTCGCTCTGGCTCTGGCTCTTTGGCGCGCGGCCGCAAAAAAGTTTGACGCTACGTAAAAAGCGCAAAAAACCGACTGCGGTCTGCGCCCAATTAATAATCGGCCCTGCAATTTTTGCCAGGCATCACGCGATACGGTCTACACGCGGATGCAGGCGCGCGCGCGCGCGCACTCGTCTGTCTTGCACCGACACCCGCAGACGCCCGATAGAGCGCCTCTTTTCTCTGGCTTTTTCTCACCTCTTCGACCATAGACTTTCGTTCGACGTCGTCCGCGTAATTATACTGCATGCAGCCGACCACGCCGACACTTTCGTGATGCTCGGCAACGTATTTCAAGGATTCCTCGAAGCCGATTTCGGCCAAGTGCGAGTAATCGTAGTCGTACTTGCTGCACGAGTCTGCCGACGACACCTCACGGATTTGCTCGGCCGTCCAATTGGCTGCGCTCAATTCCGGCACTGCGCACCAGTGGCTCGGGATCTAGGATCATCGTCACTTTGATTGGACTTGCCTGTAGCAGAGGACTTGCATTGGACGCAGAGCGCGAGTGCTCACAGTTACTAAATTTATCAGCGCGTAATGTCCGTTATGTCCGTAATGTCATTCGACTCAAGATTGAACAATATAACCTTTCTCCCGGCCTACATCGAGCTCGCGATGCCGTGTTCCGTCAATTTAAGAATAATCAAGCTGGACAGGCTTTCGACATTTCGCAGAGCACGATTTCTTATATATAAAAAAGCTCGGATGAAAAGCGTGCTCGAGACACGGCCATCGTTAGGCCCTCGGCTTGCTTTGGCTGAATTGCGCGGTCGCACGGCGCAGAGTTACCTCGGCAATGAAGATGTAAGTATTGGAGTGCATGCCGGCAAAGACGGTAGGAAAGACGGTGAAGAAAAAGACCATCCAAAGAAATGCAGAGCCGCCGCCGAGCTCGTCCAGGGCCTCGACTAGAGGATCGTCGTCCGTCCGTTGGTCGCCGGCTCGGGCGCGCCTTGTGCGTTCCATGATCGCGCTGTCGCTTGCTCAGCAGCCAAACTAGCGCATGGTCTTTCGCGCGCGTGTGCGCCTGGTTCTGCAAATGTATTGCCGATCGCGTATCGCTGGAGCTCAGGAGAGACGAAGCACTGTTGTTGTTTCGCTCGCAGCGTCTCCGACCGATAGCAGCTCCCTCCTCCTGCTTTCGCTTATCTCCCAGCTGTTAAACGTTCGACTGCTTTGATGGCGCAATAGCCGTTCGTGCTTTCTCGTCGATATAGCTTGATCGAGAGGTCGCTCACTCGTTATTGTCGATGGTCGCGCGCAAGCCTACCTGGATCGCTTGGACCACTTCACTTCCGATCTCATTGTTCAAGCGAAGATCTTACGTAAACCAGCTTTTCTCAAAGTCCAGACGTCAATTAGTGATATTGATGAGGCAAATCTGAAGGCTTTTTTATTCTTTCTTATTGCTTTGATAGCCTGCATTTTCGCCTAAATATTGTATTTGTAATAAGAGCGGACTTTAATAAGTTCGTAGAGGACTTTACTTGGTTGCGATTGTAATTTTGCTGAAGGTCTCGCATAATTCACAGCCGGTCATGTTGCCATTATGTTGCCATTATGCAGACTACAACGCAGACTACATTACTATAAATATACCTTGACGATTTGTTCGTATATTGCTTTTAATTCTTTACGGGACATACATGCCTCGTGCAGAGCGACAAACTTGAGCGTAGCTTTTAAACGATCCGATACTATCGGCTTCTTTTGTAAGAGCGCAATTATACGTGTAGTAGCGACGGAATGAAAATCGTAGCACAAAATCTGCACGAGTGTCCCAGTAGAATAGATATGTAAAAAGTAGTAATGAGACAACTGGAAAGATTTGAAAATTGTACGGATTGTTTATTCTATGGATGGAGGGAAAGGTGCGACGACGAGAATCGTTTGCATTAACGGCTAGCGTGTCGCGACAAAGTGATCGCGAGGTTTCAAACAGAAACGAGCGAGGTGTAGTCCTTCAGATGAGATTGAGCGGTACTCTGCGAAGCATCGGTACATCAAAAGCCAAATGCAATAGGGCGTTGAAGATGTTGCCGATCGCACGTCCTATCGCGTAAATTCTGTACTTAATCTCCTTGAGAATGGGAAAAGCTTCCTTCGTTCTCGGCGGCTCCTCGATCCTGCGAACAACCGAAGATTAATAATTTGAAAGAAAAATCTGAAGGACAAAGAAGGCGCTCTTGGCCTTGATCGGCAGCTATAAGCCAGTAGGCAATCGATAACGAAGACTCGAGATTCGCGTCGGCGCTTCGGCGCGTCGGCGCGCCCGAAAGAAAAGACCAACAGAAATGACGGACGGCGCAAGTGTGCCGTAGCGAGCCGAGGAAGGAAGTAAAATAAAATTACCCTCGGTCGGCCAGCTGCTGCTTTGTCCGGTTGGCGAAGGTGTACATGTAGCAAGCCGGATGCGGACTGGTGGTTTCGACTTGGTGGAACCTTCCGCTCGAGATAGCCAAGGAGCCGCCTTTCCCTATTGTCCAGCTGGTGCTACTGCTGTCCCCGTCGTAGTCCCGATAGATGACCTCGCCCTCGAGCACGCTAATGCTCACGTTGGTCAGCTCCTCGGCCACGTAATTCTCCAGGCGCATGCCGGGAAAATCGGCCATGAACAGCACGTCCGTGTAGTTCGACCAAGCGAATACTTGCTGCTGGATGCTGTTCAGCTGCGCGCTAAAGTGCAGAAGGAGGATGTACGTGAGAACGCCACCGGATACACACGGCTATGGGCTCTACCCGCGAGCGATCGCGTGCCAGACGCATTCGCGCCGCGTATTGCGACACGGGCAAACGCCGGCTACGTAAAACTCCGAGCGCGACCTCCAAGCGCACGTACCAACTCATTCAACTAGTTACTCGAAATCGCCGAGCTCTATACCTACCGATAAGATGTGAGCTGGTCGAGTAACGGGATCACGTAAGATATTGGCTTAAGTGGATGCCAATCGACCGTTAATAAGTCGACCGACGAGTCGAACAGCCTCTGATGGAATCGGCCGTTCAGAGAACACCAGATGTCCATGAAAATACTTAAATTTGACGACAGATTGGACCAAGTGCTATTTCCATGAGGTGAGCGTACTTTCATTTTCTCTAAGTTGTCCTGAACAATTCAAGGTAATAAATGCTCAGGCTCGGTTCCACTGCGATCATTCGACGGATAAGCTAGCTTCGCAATTGTTCGAATACCTGGATGCAGAATGCGTACTGTCGCACCATGTCACCGTGCTTCACCCACCGATCGTTCAGCGTCCAGATGCCTGGCTCCAAATAACGCTCCTTTTTGCTCTCGTTGTCTCGCACTTTGATCACAACCAATGATGTGTCCCACGCGTGAATCATCATATCCATCGAATAACCGTACAAGCCAGGCACCCAATTGTTGTATCCCTTCAGTGTCAGTGAAAATCCAGTGAAAATCCAGTGAAAATCCAGTGAAAATCCAGTGAAAATCCAGTTTGCTAAGCAGTCTCGATAAATACCCTTGTTTCACGCACCTTCGTAATGAAGTGAGAGTAGGGTAAGAACAATTGCACAGCCATATGAAGCAGCAGCGCGGCAACCACGCATTTCTGCTTTCTCGAGATTTTCTTCTTTTTTCGGCAACCGCCTGGGCTGGCTTCTTCTTCTTTTTCGCCACCATTGTTCGACGAATCACGGATGAATTTCCGGGGCCAGTCGACGTGACAAAAGAGCGGCATCGTTGCCAGACACACGTACGGAAACATCCCTTCATGTTCGTTTTTGCGCCGCAGGAAGTACGCACGTTTATTTCGTAATTCAAAAAAAAAAAGGAAAACAAAACACACACACACACACACACACACACACACACACACACACACACACACACACACACACACACACACACACACACTCGTATCAATGATTGCTGTGTAATATCCTGTACTTACCGATACTGAAAAGCCGCGAGTTCATCAAGTGAAACGCCGTACAGAAGACCATTGCTGGAATTCGCGTGATGTCGTATAGCATGAAAAAACCTACGCTCAGATCGAAGATGAAGCCAAACCAATGGACAATTAGGAAATCCGTTTGCGCCGTTGTTAAAAAGATTCTGCGAGACTTAGGTTGATGAAAACATAATTGCAAATATAGAGGAGAACTGGATTACTAAGAATTGGCGACTTACTTGAAAGGATTGAAAAGCCAATGATCGGACAAGTTTGCCATGGCGTAGCCAGTGAGCCATTCACTACTCGACTTTTTCAATCCTGCTATGAAGTACAAAGCGAAAAATTGAAATTTTACGATGAAATAGTTCCAGTAAGGCACAGTCTTGTCCTTTTCGCGTTTGGCATCCAACGCACTGATAGCATATTTAGCTGAATTAGAATATTATTTGACAAACTAAACAATTGTTTTCATCCATCACTTACCAATATCTATTAGCACCGCCAACCCAGAGTAGCAGCGTAACGATCCCATACAAGAAACTGTGATTGTTCCAGTAGCTCTTATCGAGAAGAAACAGGTAATAGTAAGGAAGTACGAAGAGGCCGCAGGCAATCTTGAAACGGTAGCCAAGCATAATGCCGAAAGCTCCGAGCCACATGAGCGCGTAGACAAGTACCATCCACGGCAGAGCGAGTGGCCGCAATCCATGAATAAGTGGAAAGTAGCAGGTATCTGGATCTCCCCATTTGACGTCCACGTGGCCAAGACCACGCTCTTCTACTACGTCTATTACCATGCAGAGACCTGCAATTTTTCAATTCCAATCGTCGATACTTATTCATTGACAAAATATTAATTCCAAGCATTTTTGCCAACGTAGAAAAGGACGAGTTTCTGTATTCACACTGAATACTGAATCTCTTTAGAGCGCATATTTGTTCGACCGATTTCAAGAGGGCTGGGCTCGTTTGCATGCGTATGTTCAGTACTACAATCATTGCGATACATTGTCAAGCCGACTTTTTAAAGATTAATCTTGTCGATCGAATGCTTCGATGAAACTCAAAACTATTTTCTAGAGTACTAGAAACTCGTAGGAAGAATGACGGCAGAATAGGAATTTATAATTAAACATCAATCGATAAAAGTTGCAACTGTTTAGAAAGTACCACGTAATAGCTCTAAAGTTTTATTTTTGATAAGTTTGAACAAATAAAATGTTGATCCAAGTCGAAGCATTAAATACTGTTGGATAGCTACCAAATAACGCTCGACAAACGCCAAGACTAGCCGGATCGGTGGGTCTGTACATGGCTTCGGTGAATTTCTCGAAGCTACAGAACTCATGGTACGTGAATACGCTCAACAGCCAGTCCACCCTGTCCTTAAATTTCTTCCAGGCTCGGACGAAAGGCATAGCATTTCCATCTTGTTCTGCAAATCTTGGTTCCATCTTGCTGGCGCGTCGAACGAGACCAAATCAAATTTTCAGTCGACCTCGCTACACCTCGCTGAAGCACAGTGTCGGACGAGCAACTGCGCTCTTCTTCCTTTCCGTCGAGAGAAATTATCCTGGCACAGAGTGTCGCCAAGCAACGCTCACTAGCTCATTATTAACCAGTGGATGCGCGCGCTTTTCATGATTATCGCTGTCGTTGCTTTTTCTGCACTGACCTCCGAACAATTTTGCCGTCAGTCGCTCTCGACAGCGCGCGCATAATATAGATTGGCCGTGCTTCTGCTGTCGCCGTCGGATCCACAGGAAGATTCACACTGCTAGTATATTTAGCCGACCTTCGTGGGTGTCGAGACTTTATCAGTTTTTGACGATAAAACTAGCCCTATCTCGAGAGCGATAAAGCCAGTGACAAACATAAAAGCTTACGCACTCGCGTCGTCAACTCGACGCACTTTCTCGCGGAAACATTCTCACTTTTTACGCTCTGCCCCTACCCTCCGTCTCTCTCTCTCTCTCTCTCTCTCTCTCTCTCTCTCTCTCTCTCTCTCTCTCTCTCTTTCTCCGCGTGCGTGGTGAGCTATTCCCGCACGCGCCCGTGTGACGCTCTGGCCTGATTGACTTGGAACCTCAAGGAAACCACCGACGACGACAACAGACCGCAACAAGCTTTTGCACGCTTATGTACTGTACATCCATCATTCGACAAACTGTGATTGTTCGTTCTACAAATTTATAAATCAATAATATATCTCTTTGTACAAATTTATATTTTCGTAACTGTTACATAACTGTCAGTGCCTTTATCATCAAATAAGTTGCCAGAGTGATTCGAAAACGTCCATCTCTAATTTGAATCCAAGCGGACATCATTTGAGTTTAGTGCGCGATGCCTCAAGTGGTTGTACGAATAGATGAAGCGAAACGATACGTAAGGCATAATGGAGACATCGTGCACGCGATACAAAGCTGACGTATTTTATACACTTGGCAACATATCGTTCGCAATTACATTGATTTCTCCTTGATTCCACTACACCTGTATAACTAGATCTTACCGAGTCAGTTTTCAGCCTGCAAACAGTGCTCATGTAAGATGATTACTTATCAGTAATCAGGCTAGAGAAGTTGGCAGAATGAAAATTTATTTGCCGGTTTAATACAACTGATCTTATTTAGTTGGTCGATCTGGCTAGCACTGCTGCGTCTATACGCACCTAGATTATCGCATCCTCATCCTTTAATTTGAATTTTCGATGGCGATTAGCATTGCCAGAGCTGCTGCCGCTGCTCATCCACGTGAAAATTCGATTAACGCTCCCGTAGGCCCAAGGTCTCCGGCAAAATCCTCGAGGGACTATAAGTCTAACTCGCTGACGACATTAATTCTAATCATTTCCGAAGCACTGCACCCCACGCTTTGCTCCTACCACCTTGGCTCTCGAAGCAAAAGGATCATCCAGCGAGTTGCCCTTGTAATTCATTTATCACTCACTGGCTTTATGGGCTGGTCGCTCGTGTATAAAAAATGGATATTTGGGAATATTAGGAGACTTTGTTCTATGACGCTTTCTCATCGGAAACCTGGACAACTGATTTTTTCTGCTGCTCTAGTTCTACGGGCATCGATCGAATTCTCTCTGTCCACTTGTAGATTGAAATCTCGCTGCTCAGAGTTTGTCCACTGAGTCTTTCTCTAAGCCAGGTAATGCTTGATTCCCCATCGGAGAAGTACTTTGAAAAAGATATTTGACTGCAAACACGACAGATTATCTATCCTCTTGAACGTCTCCAAGTGATTTTCAGCTCATAGCTTATGAAAAATGACTTTGGAACGATAAAAAAATGACGAGCCAGAGATTCCAAGCGACGCACATAAAAAAAAAAAAAATGACGCCAAGCATTAAGCGTTAAGAAAAACGATGCATCCGTCGATGTATAGCGCTGAATGTAAACGGTGATGGTGCACCGTCGTCGACAGCCGCAGCTGGGGACTGAATAGGCGCGCGTGCCGCGCGTCAAATCCCTAACGGCCGCTTCCAACTATAGATATAAGTGCGTAAGACAATGGTCTGATTTATTTCAAGCCGCTCTCTCTCCCTCTCTCGACGGACCACTTTTTCAAAAGCATCGTATCTTCGCTTCATTGTCATTTTAATGTGTCGTTATTTAGGGTGTTAAAGTTGAAGCTTGTTTGTTTCATGGGTCATTGATTTTGCGAATGGAACGAGTTTCGATAGCTAACGTTGTTTGTACACGAGATTATTGATGTGTTGACGCTTTTCAAGGAAGTTGTGCGCAGGCAGCGCGATATTGAAAGTTACTTAAGCAATGCAACATAGACACTCGACAAGATTACGAATTATTGTCCATTGCTAATTAATTTGATTGATTGAACAAATGTGGAGAAACAATCGCAAGCGAAGAGAAGGAAAAAAGTAAAGGAGAAAAGTAAGCCGCCGACAGTGCAAACAGAGCCGATCGCGCAGCTCGATAAACACGAATGATTCGGGTTAATGCAGTCTTATTGATGCCCGAAGTGAGCAAATACGAGAGAAAGACTGTCTGCTAGTTATACTGGGGGGTTAAAAAGCACGCAGAGCTCGCATATGCAAAGATTAAACGGGCGCGCTCGCGCGATCCTCTCGTTAGACGATGTTTGCTCGGCCTATTTATTCAAGTACACATATGCACCTGGAACAGCCGACTATTTACTCGGCAATTTATCACGGTTTATTATTACTCATTGTTGGCGCGGCGACGTCGAGGCCAATTTGAAAAACCGTGTCCGATCGCATTTGCATACTTATTCGGGCGGTGCGTTCGTTCTTTTCTTTTTCCAAGCGACCAACACGGCCAACGCAGACTGCAGTTGCTCGGTGTCTTATTTCACGGCGCTAGCTGCGACTCATCATCGCCCTCGCGATTGTAACGAGAGAGTGACGCGGACCGCTCGACTGCCGATCCCTGCGTACTTTGTACGGCGGTCTATCGTAGTTTCAGTAGTCCGAGGATTTACAAGGATGCCAGTAAGCGTTTGATCTGCGCTGGCTGATTAGGCAAAGCAAAGAACAGACGGCCAAGACTGATCGCACGACTCGCGGGTGAATCGCGGCAGAGAAAGAGAGAGAGAGAGAGAGAGAGAGAGCAGAAAGAGCAAAAGCGCGGGCAAAAAGTCGGGCATAAAATTACCAGTATAGAGGCAGAACTGCAGTTCGGTGCGCGGCAATATATCACGTCTGTCTCTGTCGTCCCCTGCGGAGCTAAGGAGAGCCAATGGAAGGAAATGGAGAGAGAGAGAGAGAGAGAGAGAGAGAGAGAGAGAGGGGTGGCTGTGGCACAATGGAACCCTTTACCAAGCCCCCTATCGGCCCAGCAGCCATACATCATCATTCATACTCTCGGCGGAGAGAAAAAATAGAGGAGTTAGGGTACCTTATATTGCGAGGGGGTATGTACTTGCAATACTTTTTTTCTCTCTCTGTGTGCTTAATGTGCGCTAGGTGCAGACTACGCCAGCGCACATGACCTTTCGGTTGTACGCTTTGATTTCCGAAATTGAAAGCAGCTTGCCGGGAAGTTTGTGAAGGAGTGCGATCGTAGCAGGCATCACTTGCATCATCTAAAACTAATTGTAAGAGCAGCCGGACAATTTTGAAAACTAACATTTGAATGAGGCATGGCCGTGGGTTTGCATCCAGTGCAGCCCAAACTCGCCAGTGTTGAAATAGTCAATCTACATACATGAATACTTGATTCCGATTCTCATTCTAATTCTATTAGCCCTTATTCAAATTAACAAGCGAATTCTTAGCGAATTCTCAACTAAGCCGTTGGGGAGTAAGCACATCTCGCAGGCTACGCGTACATATCCCTCTCCATCGATACTTTCTACTGGTTCCGCGCGTTCGCATATCGGCCACAGTCCACGCGTCATTACTCTTCGGAATGAACCAACTTGTTATTTGAATAAACTGAGCTCAGTCCTTGAGTCTTGTTATTGTTCATGCTAACAACCCAGTCAAATGTATTTTGAATCTATTATTCTAATGAAAGACTAAGCGATCGAGCACTTGTACGCGTCCATTAATCGTCTGATGCAATGACTTGGTAGGCATCGATTTGCACGGCGTACAGCTAACTAAAAGTCAACAATGACAACAATGAGAGTGCAACAATGCCCTGCAGCTCCGTGATCGACAAGGAAAAATCATCGGGAAAAGCAGCGCTGCTCGAAACGCTCAGCTCGAATAGCTCATCCATCAATCAGTCGCAGCGGTCGTTTAAAAAACTAACATCGAGACGGACGAGCGCGCGAAATGTAAAAAAGGCTGGTAATCCGCTTTTGGAAATGGACCGGCAACCCCTTTAGCGTGTCACAGCACGGCTGACTGATTGTAAAACCATGGACTTGGCCGCGATGGGGTCGCCCACGGCCCGTACACAGTGAGAAATTAAGCCGCGTAATCGACGTGTAATCCCTTGAAAACCGTGACAGAAAGGAGCCGAGCGAGGTTGTTGAATTTGGCAAGCGATTTTCGCCTGTGGAAGGAGAGTTTGTCCGAGCGAAGGGAAACGAAGGTAAACAAGCCGAGAGTTGGCGTTGCTGTCGCCATTAGCTAACAACCAAAGTTGTCCATTCGATAAACAACAAAAGAAATGTCGTCCGTCCGCAACGTTGCAGCTTACAGCTCATCGAGCAATCGGCCAGACTGACGCGAGCAGCGCAGTCTAGTCCGGATGGCCTCGTTGAAAATCCAGCCGGCAAAAAACGCGCAAATGAGAATCCAGTGAACGCTGGCGCACGCGACGCGATTGTCCGAAGGCGTCCAGCCGTAAAGACCTGCAGTGTGCAGGGCTACGGGCCGGGCAGGGAGACACGAACGTTTCTTTCGGTTTGTTTCGGGGCAGCTATAGGTGCGCCACTGTCATTCTGCGCCGGAGCAAGGATGCGCCGAAAAGGGAAAAGGGGAGGAGTCTCGGGGCAAAGTTGTTCGAGGCGAGGGTGCGAGGGCATGCCCATGCGATTTTCGTATTTTAGAAGCACGGAGCACG